GAGAGATGGAGGAGGTGGGGGTGTGTGTTCGGGGTGAGATGAGATTGAGGGTTTTAAGATTCGGTCCATTCATCCTTCAGTCCTCTCAGACTTGAAAAGGGCCGGCAGACAAACTGGTCTTTGTTATTCGTCTAACGAAGCCTTTTCCGCTCCAATCAAGGTAACAGGACCTGCTGACATATTATTACACTTTCACAAGTTGATCGAAGGGAAAATTCTTGTGATCGATTATTACGTTAGACTTAAATGTTGCTTCTCTGCTGATGGTTTTTGTTTGACTGGCATGATAATTTCAACTGATTATTTTTGTTTGTAGCACTTGGTGTAATTGTGTTTATCATTAGATTGATGGCACACTTAGATTTGCATGTTTTTGGCACTTAGCTGATCCTCTTATCCAGCAGAACAAGCTTTAATTTGCATTTAACCAATAAAAAAGAGAGAGAGCCAAACTTTGCTTTAAATTGCAGAGAAAACATTGCACATTCATATTAGAGCATGATTGCATCTTTATTATTTTCTTACTTTTTAATGTTTTCTATCTCCTGAATCTTGTCTTTGGCTCAGCTCTCCTAGTTTCCTATATTGCCCAGTGACCCTAGAAAGATCATGTGTGAGGCCAGCGCTGCACAGGAGGACACAATAAAATAAGTGCTAAAGGGGAATGTGTTTTTTTTTTGGGTTCAAGATAAGAGGATATTACAGCTCGTAGAAGAGGAGACATCATTCAGTGAGGGAAAGGGTTATGTGAAGCACTTCTTGAAGAGATGAGTTTTCAGCCTTCCAGGGAAGATGGTGGGTGTATGTGCTGCTCCAAATCACTTGAGAAGGTCATTATGTGTGTGGGTGGACGGTGTGTGTGTGTGTCTACTGGATAAAGTTACAGAAAAATAAAGAAAATACTAAACAGTCTCTGGAGGGAAAATGATGCTTTCATACATTTACTTTACTGCAATAAATTTTATTTGCTCTAATCACAAATCATCAGTTGCATAAGTAATGAGAGAGGTGGATAAAACCTTGTATTTGTGTGCAATTATGCTGATATTGCTGCAGTGTAAAGTCTGGTGGTTGTCTTTGTTCTAGCTTTGGATGTGTCATTATATTAATATGTGTGATGATGATTTACTTTAATAAGTGATAGTGAGGGCAGGAGCAGCTGTAATCAGTTACATCTGTGCTCTGCTGTTTATGGCTAATTTAGCTCCACATGACAACAAATTCATATTTCTTTCAAACTGCTTTTTTTGTCTAATGATGATGATCACAATGATGAAGACACTGATTTGTTTGTATTTTGTGGTGTGTTTTCGGAGTGCAGCTGTAGCGCTTCAGCCGGAAAACTCCTATCGCCCTGTTGGACCAGAAGTAAGGCTCTTTGTTTCTTCATGTAGGAATGAGAATTCATTTTAGCTGTTTATGTATATGGGTTGGTATTTGTGTGGCAGATTTTTCACTTTTTAGAGTTGAGAGATCTGAGCAGTCAGAGTTATGACTGCATATATTCATTCTTGGCAATAACTTTGGGAAAAATCTTCTTACTGCATACAATTGTAAAGGTGTACTTAATAAAGTGGCTGGGGAGTGTAAATATATTGTGTTATGTGTCTAACTTGTTTTTAATAGTTCCCAGCTTTTACTGTTACTTTCATCAGCATAAAATGTGTCATTTTATAGTGTTTACGTTAGCTTCGTACTAATGAGCTAGCTGACAGTGCACCTTTACAAATTTTATTTTTATTAAGTATTAATTTAAGAATACTGTGACTTACCTACCTAACTATAGCCATTTCTTTTTATCCTTCTGATTGCGAGGAAAGCGATAAAATTATGTGATTTTTGATTCAGATCTATTGAAACAGTGGCCAATACAAATGAGTAAACCAAAGTTTAGACCCAGAAAGAGAATGTTATGTTGGATAACCTTTGTGAGGTGGTAGGCGGAGCTAATTTACAGACTGTACTTTGGCAACACAGGAGCTGGAATAACAACAGAAGGGCTGTAGGCTGCAGAGTGTCACTGAGGGGGGGTAGTGTAGCTCAGAGATATCACATTCTGTCTGACTTTCACTGGGTTTATCAGACAGTGTGTAAAATCTTAGTATCATTTATAGGAGGTCTTAAGTAGTCACTGCCTCCCCAGTCACTTCACAGTAGCTCCTCTTGCTTCTCCAGCAGTGTTGCTCCCTGACTGGGCCTACAAACCAGCCTGGTCTCCGGGTTCCAGGCAGGTCCAGCTGTGGCACTTCTTGCTGGAGCTGCTGGGGCGAGGCGAGGGCGGGGCCATCGGCTGGGGAGGGGAGTGGGGTGAGTTCATCATCCGGGACCCCGACAGGCTGGCCAGGCTGTGGGGGGAGAGGAAGGGCAAACCACACATGAACTATGACAAGCTCAGCCGGGCGCTCAGGTAATGCAAACTGCACACAGATACGGGTCACAGCTCTTTAACTGTGAATGTGCGTGATCCTCCCTGTGTGTGCAGCTTCTCCCTCAGGCTGGTGCTGTAAACAAAATGTAGTCCTTGTCAACATATGTTGTCAGATTAAATGCTTCAGTCTAAAGAGCCCACAGATGCAACACATTTGGAAAGCACTTTTAGCAAAATACATTATAGCAACTTGAGTGGATACAATAGGCACACGCACCTACACAGATGCCCAGATCAGACCTACAGTCACACAGAAAACATTTTACTTCCAGATATTACTACAACAAACGTATCCTGCACAAGACCAAAGGAAAACGTTTCACCTACAAGTTCAACTTCAGCAAACTCATCCTGGTCAACTATCCCGGATACCCACTACCACTGCCACCACCACCACCACCCGGCCATCAGGTCATGATCACATCTTCACATCTCATTTTAGAGGACTTCACTCTTTGGGAAACTGACTTCTTGGTTACATTACTTCGTATGTAATATCAGAAAAAGAAAAAAAGTCGTTTTTTAAATTATCCAAACATTACTGTAACTTGGCTAGTTTCCCAAAACACGAGAATAGTCCTTTAATTAGAGTTTTATTCCAGAAAACTTTGAGAAAAATAATTACCTTAACTGTACTATTTCATACTTAAAAATGGGCTGTATTTAATAAAACAATTACCTCAACTTTATCATTTAATAAGAATTTGGCTGACTTGAATAGAAATGCTATCATTTATTATAAAACTGACCCACTGACTGATCCTGTAATTCAGAGGGGAGGCAGTGTGCTTAAGGTTATATCACATTCACAGGCAAACCAAGGGCTTAGGTTACCTACCATGCTTTAGAAAGCACCCGACTTTGTTTAATTATATGATTAATTCTGTAAGACCAGGGATTAGTATAGGGATGTGCTTTGTCTGAAAATGCTGTGCAAGTGCACTTAAAAATATTCCATTAGCTTTTGCAAATGGAAGTCCCAGTTTGGAATAAAGCTCTCAATAATATTAAACATTGTAATGAGGTTTTCAACACATTTCTAAAGGCCACCAGTGTACAAAGTATCAGGAACACCTGCTATTATGTTTATTAATCCAAACTGTACACTGTCAAATCAGTAAAAGATCCAAAATGTCACCTGGTGTTCTTAATATTTTGTGCTCACAGTGACAGACTCAACAGTTTTGAACAACTCATGTCCCATTTCAACCACCCTTCCATCTCATCCTCCATCCCTCCACCCTCCAGCTGGTTCAGAGCAGGTCTCTTCCCTTCCCTCTCCTCCCAGCTAAGAGCGAGCTTCCTCTGTGTGGAGGAGCCGGGTCAGTGATGGACAGAGGTAAGAGTCCATCTATCAGTGTTGCAGCTATATCTGTGGGGTGTGAACAAGTCGCACAGTGTGCCTGTCATAATAGGCAATGGCATCCATCCATCCATCCATCCATTTTCCTCCGCTTATCAATGGCATCCATTTTAAAAAAATACTCTATCTCTGATAGTGAAGGTGACCACCGAAGTCAGATTTTTTTTTGTTTAACCCTTCCCCCCAGAGATATTATTTCAAAGAATTCAAGAAAAGAAGTTTTTTAAAAGTAAAAATTGATATATTTGAATGTTGATAAATGATTATGTAAGTGAATTCTTGTTGTAGCAGTAGAAATCATTGTGTAGAAACTCCTTTGTACTTTGTGACTGATATGATCCTGACTCTGTCTCCTGACAGCGGTCCAGCCTGTGCCTCACCCCTTTTTGCTCCCATGCTTCCTCTCTAAGCCGATCCCAATGCCCCCATCTCTTCGCTGCCCCTTCCCCTTCATCTCTGGCCCTGCACATTCAGAAGCCAACCTGACAGAGCCCAGAGAGTTGGGCCTCACCCCCTTGCATCAGCGCTCCATGTCAGTGCAGATGGCTGGCCGCTCAAGAGCCCTGCAGGGTGGAATCTGACCCACATCAGTCACAACCTGTTTGTTTGAGTAAAGCAGACTGAAATTCAAGTAGAAGAGAGGAGAGCAGGGAGTGATGTACAGATGGGTGGAAGAGAATGAAGAGGAGGAACAAACTACAACAGATGGACCACTTTGACTGCTCAGATCTCTCAAATACATTTTGTATTTTTTGAGCTCATTAGTTTTTTATTCATTGTCTGTGGTTTAAAATATACAAGGTTTGTATTTATTTAATTGGAATATATTGTGTTATTGTAAACAGAAATATTAAGAAACCCTGCTTTTCTTCTGTCAGCACTTCACACCACAGTAGCAGGGTATCAATTAACAACCACACACTTGTGTTTGAGTCAATAAAGCAGTGTACTCAGACGTTTGTCTTGCATTTCGCTACCCCCACTTCAGGCTTCATGAAAATAGTAAGAGCTGCATAAATGATGCATTGAAACAGGCACCGAGACATCAGAAAAGGAGCCTTTACGTCTTTGCCAGCCTCAGGACCCGCAGGGACTATTCCGATACGACAGGGGGCAGTATCACCTTTGAAGGGCCATAAAATTTTCATAACAGCGAGAGACAACTGCGAAGTGTAAAATAAAAGAGGTGTCACTCGGATAATTTTTAAAGTACCATAATCTTCGTTCAACTAGCTAGTACTCCACTTCTATTCAAACTTTCCATGAGCATAATATGATACACAACCAATAATGTTTGAAATGTTTTTATTTTGGCAATTTGCTATATTACCATCCAGTATTTTATCACAATATTAGACAGCACTCAGTATTATTTATATGTAGTTTTTCTTGTTTTAAAACGTTTTTACAGATTTTTAAGTTATTTGGCTCCTTTCGTCAGGGATAACATCTTTGCAGTTTCTACCATTTAGTATTTTATTTGATTTTTATTATATGCCAAGCCGGGTTAGCTGCACTAAACCTTTTTCAAAACCTTCCAGGAGAACACATACTGTCGGCGTACACGTTTTCAGCCCGGAACCTGCTCAGGTTTTGGCTCACAAGTGGCATGTCCTATGCTTTCACAATCTTTGGCTGAGATGTCATTTTGGCGGTGAATGTTCCAACTAGTTTGTTGTTCTGCAGCGCGGGAGTTGGTGGTTTAGTACGTCTATGTGAAACCTGTGCTGTAATTTAAGTATTATTCGTAATTCAAGATCAGGTGAAGGAAAAGTTTGAAGACAACATGCAGCGGAGCATCGCGTAAGCATAATTCTGTTAACGGTTTATATTTAAGTTAACTTGTGCCCTGAACCAACTTTAGTTAGCTCGCGTTTGACGTTTGTGTATTAAGGTTAGCGTTACCTGTCAAAGTTAAGTGTTTAAAAGTTGTGTTTATGAGTCTCTAAAGGCATTGTCCCTTAAAGTGTAGCTGAGTTTGAGTGTTAACAGCATTGTGTGTAAGCTAGCATTAGTATGACCTAGTCTGCGCCGTCTGTTTTAGTGAGAGTCACTTTATGATCCACCAGTCACACACCAACGAATTTCTAAATTAAGCTCCAGGCGGAACAAACCTAGCTTAGTGTAACGTTATCTGTTTAATATAGATCTGGGCAAAATCCTTTTTGTTTTGACTAAATTGTTTAACAACCTTATGATCCGGAAGGCTAGCTGAACCCCCATTGACGTACATTGGGCTTGCTGTGTTAACGTTACTTGCTAGCGGGCTAGCAAACGAGAATGCAACGCTTACGCCTGACTTTCATTAACCACCGTTTACAAAGTAGTTAACGTTACACACAACTCTGTTGTGTTACACTGTGCCGGGGCGGTTCAGTTAGTGAGAGTTAAACGACTTTTTAAAAACTGTCAGTATTATGCTAACCCCGATCAGGCCATAACTGTTTGTTTGTACCTGCCTGTCCTCTTCCATCAGGTCATTCTTTCAGCCCAAGAGTAAAGACAGAGACACTCAGAAGAAAACCACAGATGAGCCAGTGAAAAAGTAAGATTTCCTCTTCGGTTAGAGGTCATTCCTCTATCTCTAAGGGTTTAATATAGGCCATCTGACAGAGAGATGATCTCCATCCTTTAAAACTAAGGTACCCCTCAGATGAGCGGCTATGGGAGAAAATTATGCTCATTATTAAAATCTCTGAAACTTTCTGAAGGAATATGTTGCTTATTATAACACTCAGATTAGCAAAAGAATGGAGTTTTCATTGTCAGTGTAAATATGTGTATTTGATTCAAGATAGAAATTGTGGTTGGCCTGTGTGTTTGACATCAGTAAACCGAATCAACGCCTCAGCTCCTTTTCAAACACATCTGTATTGAAACACCACTGACAGTTTGAGTGTGTGCACTTATCTTTGAATCGCTTTGCCTCTGGGTCTCTTGCTTAGGAAAACTTTGTGTGGAGTAGTTTTTTCTAAAGACTGGATACAAAATAGAAGATAATTTGAGTTTGTCATCTGAGTTTCTTTGATGATAATGTTGTGATCATCAGTAGACTGTATTATCTGTAAAGTATGTCTTTAAACTCGCTGTAATGCAGTTGTCTTCATAAAATTATCTTTTTGTTATTGCTTTAACCCTTGTTTTATAACTGTTACCTTGATTTAATGGCTTAATTGTTTATTTTTTAACTTTTTCTGTTGACTTTGGTCTTTTTAAATACATAATCTAGCACATACTTATCTAGTGTCTCAGACTAAAAACACTCCTTCCTCAGAGTAAAGCCGTTTTCAGATAAAACACGGTATGCGCTGCGCTCACTGCAGGGAGTGGGCACAGGGGAGGAGAGCGCACACGCAAATTGTGCACATGTTGGGTGCCACTTGGTAGGTGACCAAAAAGCTTTCCAGGAGCTGGTTAGCAGATATATGAACAATTTTTTCAAGCAGCAGACTTGGATGCATGGTGTAAAGCTCTGGCTTTAGTTGTATCGATGAGGAGGAGGAGACGAGCTGTAGCAAAGAAGAAGAGGGGGTGGGTCTGTCAAAATCAGTTTCTCCTCCACTTTCTTTTATGGTGTGTCAGGTTCTCTGTAATTGGACACGTCAAGATGTCATCACAGAGTACTGCGGCAAAGTTGAGCTTTTTTTAATCTTTAGCAAAGTGCGCAGGGGTGGCACATGCACGTACTGTGCTCAGCTTGGTGCAGCGCAGGTGCGTTCTTGCACTGCGCAACACATAGGAATGAATGGGTTTGATAGCGGAGTCCAGCACCCACCACGTCCCATTTGAAAACAACTTAAGATTTAAGAAGCGTCCTACTCTCGCTTTCAATGAGGAAAGATCCTGCTCCTTGGGACAAGTGTGACGTCACTGTATTACAACACTCAGTCACAAAGCAGACTTTATAGGGACGTGTTGTAGTTTTTCTGACAGTTGAGGTTCGTAGTTGCTGACAGTGGGGAATCAGTGCCACCTGTTAAGTATAGCTGGTGACATGTTCAGCATTTTACTGATGTGCTTTATACCAAGTTTGTTTCTGTAATAAGCTGTAAGTGTAATGGAAAGCTGCTCATAATGAGCTTCACCTGGGTGAAAGTGTCTTCACTGGTCCTATGCAATCACATATTGTCTAAACCCCTATAATAAAGCTGTCTATTCAGGGGGAACATGATTATTTTCAAATACACATTTTAGTTCGTCTTCACTTCCACTTGAGTTGTATGTGCATCCAATTAGGATCACGTAGTTCACAACCACTTGAGTGTTAATGCTGTGATAACATTTTTCATTTGTCTGTGCTCGGTGAAATGATTTTAATGTGTGTGCCATTAATGACTCCAGCATGTCAGGGGGAACCAGCGATTTGCATTTTAGCAGCTGGTTTTTCATAGACAGAGACATGAATGAACTAGTGCGTTCTTAGTGCAGCTGTAAGAACATTCAGGGTCTTTTTTATTCCAAACTGCTGACTTTGACAGACTGAAATCATGCTTTGTTAATAAAAAAGTGTAAAGTTTTAATGACTGTTGTTAGCAGAGATGGCATGTGTTCTTCATGTTGTCGGAGCAGGTGTATCCTGCACAATATCTGTCATATTTAACGTTCCATTTGTATGTTTTAATGAGCTCAGTGTTGTGAAGTAAAACATCTCTCCTCCTGCTAATTCTATGTGTGTGGGTGTGTGTGTGTGTGTGTGTCTGTCTGAACCAGGGATGCACTGATACCACTTTTTCTCAGACCAAGTACAAGTACTTAAATTTGAGTATTTTCCGATACTGAGAACTGATACAAGTACTTAATAATAATGGAGTGTTTCTACTATAAAATTACAATTACCATAAAAGTGCAATGAGTTTAGAGAGATTTTTATTTTCATGAGATTTACTTTCTGATTACGATCAAATCAAATATAACAGGAGGTTGTGCAAATTACCTTAAAGCTGTTAGTGATGACAAACCCAACACTTCCACCATTTCTGTTCAATATAACGTGTAACTGACTGAATGTCTGTAGCCTTCTACACAGCAAGCTGTAATACAGTGCGACCCTCTTGTTAGGATGAAATAATTTCATGACCCCCGCCCAGAGCATATAATGTCACAGTCGGCATTAAAATGTCTAATTTAATGAGAGTGTAGCTCTTACTTTAAACTGCCTATTGTCTGCGGCTTCATTATGTCGTCTCGGCTTCGCACACACTTGTACTGCTGTAGAGAAGCTGCTCGGTCTTAGCTTCCAAGTCTACAAGAATTCAGCTCATTTTTATACAAAACTCATTAGACTCTGCTGTTAACTACATAGTGTTAGCATTTGTTTTCTTCTTCACAACAATTCACTACAGTCTGCATAACGAGGACTTTATGGGTTTAGTGGGTGAATGGGACCAGGCATTTTGGCTATGGGGAGAGTGAAGACGTCACATTTCTGCAAGTTTGTTGTTGTGCTCTGCTTGTTCAGTGGGTCATTAACTGCTCGTACTCTCCCCACTACTGGTGGACGTTGCTGCGTCTCTAAAATATGACCTGTCTGTGTGAGGTTAAAGTTATCTTGCTGTTAAGTGGTATTGGTGCATAATATCAGACAAGCTTTACGAGTACAAATGCTAGAGGGTGGTATCAGACCGATACTGGTATCAGTGCATCCCTGGTCTGAACGGCTGCTCTTAATCAGTTAGGACACCTCTGGAGCTCTCCTGTGTTTTGGTTGAGATCGGAGTGATTTCCTGAGTTTGGAAAAAAAAAACAATACATTTTACTTCTGCTCCTACACTCAGGACCAGAATGCACCATTCTGAGAACTTTTGGCCAGTTAAGGGTGATTTCCTGCTCTGAGATGAGTAATAAATATGGGTCCTGGATTTATTTATTTGAACTGCACAATTCCTTAACTGTGTGTCTGTGCTCTTCTCTAGATCTGTCAAGAGCCCTCTGAAGGTGCAGAATGGTGTTCAGGAAGCAGAGTCACCCGTCAAGAAGGTTGCTAAGCGCTGCCGTCAAATCCTGGACAGCGACGACGACGACGCGCCAGTCGTTAAAGAGCAAGTTGCTACCAAGTGTCAAGGAGACAAAGAAGCCCCCAGTAAAACAGAAAAGGTAAAAGGCTTTTTACACTTCCTCATTCTGCCGTCAGTCTTTTTGCTATTCAACACATCAGCTGATCATTTCTTTGACATTATGCAAAAACATACTGACAGTTTGATGGGACATCATGGTGTTTCAAAACAAAACAAAAACAACAACAAAGCAGACATAAGCCCCTTTCAGACATGCACTGGAACTCTGAAATTCTCCAGACATTACACGGAGGAGTTGTATGTGAGAACTCAAATGTCCAAGTCAGTTGACCCAGATGTTAAGTGGACCTGACCCTGCCACCTCCCTAGTACAAAGTCTGTGTAAAGGCTGAGTAAGCTAATATGAGAATACAGCAGCTTATAGTCCGGAGTAGTCGGTATTCACACACATAGGCGTGTTGACATTCTATCATGTGACCGGCGTGAAACTGGAGGAATATAGACATCCCATGGTGAAGAAAAACACCTGTTTACAATGAAGACCAATGAAAATATCTACTTGGAGTTGCGATGAGATTCGGGAACTAAGGCCGTTAAGAGCTGGCGCCACAGCTGTTAGATTAAGGAACAGCAAGAGACTCTGCAGTTTATGACCAAATGACAAACCGGCTACATGTCCGCGTCATGCCCTGCCTCCTGCACGCTCTGCCCAGGACGGAGTATGAATGTATACTGAATATAGGGTTTAACGGAGTAGTGTGTGCTACATGTGTGAAAGGGCATCTCTGTGCCCTAGTCCAGAGTTCATGTGTGAAAATGGCTATGCTTAATGTAATGAATGCCTGATGTGATAATTGTAAAAGGAGAATTACCAGTAGGCTTGGTTTTTCCCTGCACAGTGTAAGACTGAAACAGTGTGTAACCCATCAGCTGTTGTAAATCCACAGTGCAACCTGCACAAAGAAAGTCTAATAAGAGTGTAAGAGCTCCTGTAGGCGTATCAGTGCCTTTTGTTTATTCAATGGTGAGAAAAATACTGTTCCACAAAGGCGCACTAATTGTATGGTGAATCACGATGTTGAATGCATATGTCAATAAACCACATAATGAAAAGACCTGATTATCGGCTTTGGCTGTCGCTCAGCCACCTGTTGTTTGATAAACACTTCTCTTATCCAGCTCGTATGTTTAGCTTGTAATACATCAGCAGTTATTCATGGGCCCAAACATTTTCATAAAGTGAAGAATCTGAAACACATCATAAATGTGCATGATGAACAAAAGCGCACCATCCTCTCTTCATCCACCTCTGATGATTTGAAAACAACAACCAGTATGCGTTGTGTTTTCAATGCACCTGCTATCCTGCTATACATATGTTGGTTGTCACGTCCAGTTAGCCATCAAGCCTTTAATACTGGGATGCCGACATCTCCGTAAACAGAACACAGGCTTTTTTTTTTTTTTTTTTTCCATAGTTCAGTGTAAACAGGCAAAGCTGCAATAAAGAAGGGTCAGATTATCTCCACTGTCTAAAAGAGGCAGTAAACCACATTACCACTTGTGCAGGACAGGCTGATATCAGAGATGGTTGTCACACCTGCCTGCAGTAGCCCTGCCTTCCTCCTAGCAGCCTGTCTAAACATTGTGCTTCACTGAACAACAAACTTGTTTGCTCACTTACAGTGCTGAGGTGGATGTTGTTCAGGGTTTCAGGGTTTTATGCTTTGTTGAGATTTCTGCTTTCCTATGATTTGCTTTCAGCCATCCCATTTGGACTGTTTATTGTGTGCCCATAAAGAAATTGCAGCAAATTCAAAAAGTGAATGCTCTCATTTGCTTTGGCAGAAGATGCCACACTGAGGAAGAGTGATACAAAGAGTCCACAGCGATCCAGATCATTTTACTCTGGACAGCTGGACAACTGTTACTGTCAGTTCCTGCATTGTCAGTATCAGCTGTGGACGTTGCATCATCTCAAATCAAAACCATTATCAGCAGTAATTCTAGCCATTAAAGCTTCTGTTTATGTTTCCTCTCATTATAATGACCACAAATAATTCTGTCATTTTCAGATCGATGAAGTGTTCAAGGCTGTTCCTACCCCCCTGTCTTCACCACCAGCCCCAGCCACCCCTGCAACCCCGGCCAGTCCTGCATCTTCGGCTTCACCGGGGACACCAGACTCCGTCTCCCCCTCTGGGATTGTCAAACGCAAAACTGGTCGGTGTTGTGTGTGTGTGTGTGTGTGTGTGTGTGTGTGTGTGTGTGGCTGCAGCATCTTGAACTTTGACACCAGCTGGGGATTGATCGTTTTTCAGCTTTGATCCGTTTTTATGTGATTTCTTGTTAGCAGGAGCCTAATAGCTCCAAATACTCATTATTTCATAATGAGGGGAAAAACAAGACATTTATCACAAACTGAATGCATGAGAAGTTTGTTCACCACAAAACTGCTAAGTACTTTTTTAAGTACTCTTGTCCCTTTTATCTCATGACTCTGTTTTTTTTTTTTTTTGGAGTTTCAGCTTTGACATTTAGAACCACTGGACTAGATTGTGTTATTGATCCCATCTACCGAACCATGATTACACACTTTCAAGCATATATATCATTATTTTTCTTCATGTAATTGCTTTGTGGTGATAATGTTATTGCTGCTGCATTGTCTTGCAGTGTGTCATCACTGCTGACTGGGCCTTAATGGAACCAGCAGAGCGAGTCGTCTTATTGTTGTAGCTGATTGTCACCGTGTTTATTTGGTTCATTTGGGATTTGCAGGCTTAAAACAAGCTCGACCATACAATATGTTGTTGTTGCATGTAGCTGATATTTTTTTTGGCCATATATGTTCATTATCTGCATTTCTGCGTTGAACATAAACAGGAATAGCCAACTGATTTTAAGTGAATCTTTGTGCTTGCTGTGTTTTTTTTTTTTTTTATGTCACACCAGAAACAAAGGATTTTGAATAGTGAATTTAAGCTACTTAGAGCTACACCGTTTTCTACTATGGCACATTTGTTTTCATTAGGGAAGCGCCTCCTTTGCCACACTGTCTCCTTCATCCTACTTTTGCAGCAGGGAAGCAGCTCATTCTCTTTTCATCATCCCATTCTCTTTGTGTGTGATGTCTGCAGTGTTTGCTGTTAGTAGTGGTGTGTTACCACCGTCACCACTGGAGAAAAACATCACATTAGAGTAAAGCTCTAATTTAACCGGAAATTGCATTCTTAATGTCCTCGGTTAAAGCTTCCATTATCATATCTGAAAGAAAAACAGCAGTGCCTACCTGTGCTGGAACCTTAACAGGGACCAACACAGATGTGGAACCAAAAGCAAAATTACCCTCCAGCACCACTACTGCATAAAATTACAGAGGAAATCACACTGGAACTTTAAGATTCCATCCTGCATAATATCTTTCAGGATGGAATTAGTGTTTTCATCTGTGATTCTCTCTTTCACATTACCCTACATCAGCAGTAAGAAAGCAGACTTGTCCTGTTTTCATCTCCACATTCTCTGTCTGTTTGATCACGGCATGGTGTTTAGTCAGGATGCCTCCTGCTCCTTTTAATGTAATACCTGTCCTGACATGTACAGCGAGGAAAATGTTCCCAAAGAGGAAGCTTGACGAGAGCAGGAGTGGCAGCGACAGTCAGAAAGAGGAGGCCGAGGCCAAGGAGGAGCAGGGTCAACAAAACAAACGAGCTCGTGTGGAGACCGGTGACGACAGCACAGGTACGCCTTCGTCACCGCTATTTGTCTGAGAGCACAGCCTGGAAAGTCTTGGTAGGAATGGAGAGTAAAGTGGAGACTGTCCAGGTGTTGAGAACTTGCACAGACACATTGGGTACATAGTAAAAAAAAAGGGGGGGAACCAAAACAAAGCACCACATTGAGTATTTTACTAGTGACCAGTCCTATATTATGAATACAGATGGTTAGACTTAAGTGTTAATCTCCACAGGGGTTTCACGCCAGTGACTTCTGTGCTGGTCCCAAGCCTGGATAAATAGAGAGGGTTGTGTCAGGAAGGGCATCCGACGTAAAAAAAAAAAAAAAAAGGGGCAAACCCTTCAGTTTTGTTAAAGGAATGCAGTTGTAGATCAAGTTTTTTTTTAAAGTTCTTTAGCAGCAAGTGTATCTACAGACACTGAGCAGGCAGATGGCATCTCGCTCTTTTCTAAAAATATTACTTTTAAAATACCAAAAGTGACTGCTGCATTCACCAGCCCAATGTGTACCAATCATTTTAACTTGTGGATGAGAAAATTAAAGTTTCATGTGTGACTCCTCACCCAGCCACTGTCACGACCCCAGTTCTGTCTGCTGGAACTCGGCGCTACAGGTTTGTCAATAGTCATTTCTTTTACCTGACTCTCTCGGGTGAAAGGCGACCCTCAAAAATATAACCTGCGGCATTTATTGAAAGAAGGCTGTTATGTTGAAAATCACCTTCAAACGTGAGCTCACAAAAAACAACTGGGTTGTGCTCAGTAAGCCGACTGGCATTTATCTCTTCAATGACTCCACTCCCTTTCTGTCTCACCCTGTGTTGGGAACACAGGTGAACCCATGGAGGAGGGAGCAAAGGAAGAAAGAACTGAAAAGGCAGTGACCGAGACTAACAGCCCAGATGAGGAGCTGGAAAAAGAGAAGAAAGAGGACGGGAAGGAGGCTAAGGAGGAGGAGCAGGTGGACAGAGAGAGCTCCGATGAGAAAGAGAAGAAAGCTGAGGGGGCGGAAAAGAAAAATGAAGCAAAGGAGGAGACAGATGATGAGAAAGGGCCTGCTGTTGCCAAGAAGAAGGTGGTTGAAAAGGACACACAAGAGGGAGGAGAGAGCCCAAAAAGTCAAACATTGAAAAGGCAGAAAGATAAGGAGCCAGCCAAGAAAGCCCCCATCAGCAGTTTCTTTGGTGAGGAGGAATTTGCATAGCCCTGTGCCTGCACAAAAAACATGTCTGTAAATGTGCTACGCTCTTATCAGTTAGGAAAGACGGCAGAATATTTCTCTGCCCCGCCCCCGTTCTAGCCTCACCTTTCTTTCTATTTATCTCATTATTTCAATAGCTCCCAGGAAAGCTGCAGTGAAGACAGAGAAACCAGAGAAGAATGAGGGAGAGAAAACCACAGATGCAGAGAAGAAGAGTTCAGCAGAGAAGAGTAAAGACACAAAAGGGTAAGAAAAGTGCAACAGGAAGTTTCACACAGCTGATTCTTTATAGGCCAGATGCCTCACCTGCCAGTCGCTTGTGTGGTCTGCATGTTTGTCCGGCTGAATCCAGCTGTATGGACTTCACCACACTTGCATAATCGTGGACTTAACCGGAAGTGTGTTAGTGCCGAGGGCTCTCCGTTTCACATTTCACCTCCCACAGAGTTTGTGTAGGGTGCAGACTTCAAAAGACTTCTATTACCAAACCTAATTATTAGTATTACCATAATTTATCTGCCTCTTCCATAAAGCGTGGCCTGTTATGTAATAGACAGAATACATGTAAATAAATTAGTAGCAGCATCAGCAGTAATGTATTGCTTCTTTGCTGTCTCGAGGTCATGTTAATGATTTATCCATAAACTATTTTTAGCACCAGAGGAGAGGAAATGCATTTTTCATTCTCCTAACTATGTATTTTTACTTGTTGTTGTTTTTTTTTTATCACTGCCTTGTGTGCGACAGTGTAGGAGTGATGGACGTGGCACACAAAGAGAAGTTCACAGCTCCTTAGAATGAATTTAGACAGTGTGTTTGACTCCAGTGTTTTGCAGTTTGTGTGAAGAAAAGGGAAATGATTAACATATCTTGCATGCTAATGCTGAAAAATACTTTTAACTTTTTAAACAACTTAATCAGTGATTTTTGTTGGAATAAATCTTTATTTGCTGATGTGGGAGATGTTCTTCTATTAAATATGTCGAACCTCTTAGTAGTGTAGTGGTATTTTTCTTTTGAGATAAACTTTGCTGTAGTTCGACTTCTTCCAGTGTGAAAAAACCAGTGGAACTTGGAAAACATTTTCCCCAAACACTCATTAGATTTCTGAGTGTCTCGTTGTTAGGGTAAATAGTGTGCATGACTTTCTGTCTACACAGAAATCTGAGTTGGCTTCAGTGACTGTAGCAGCGGTCACCAACATTCAGTTAGATTCTCATTTTATGCTGTTATGTTCTTCCTTAGTGATTCGACCTCAGGGCAAACAGACTACGATCCGTCCAGGCCGGGCTATCACCCTGTGGACCATGCCTGCTGGAAGCAGGGCCAAAAGTAAGTGGAGCCTACTCGTTCTGGCCTTCCTCACTCTGTCATCTCACCCACCTAATGTGAAAATGGGAACTTCAGTTTGAATATCCTGACAGAGGGTTCTCAGTGAATTTCTGGAATATTGTGAAATTGAATGGATTCTTGCAGTCTCTGATATCTCAGAATATGTGGGGATATTAGGAAGCGCTCATTTGTTAGAAATCTTTCAAATGCATTTTATAAATTGGGGAAAAAATGACGGAGGAAGTGCTGCAATGTGACACGAAACAGGTGCTGCCCGTGCATGGGTAAGTAGTCGGTGTTCACCAAGGGTCAAAGTCGGGGCACGCTGCTCTGTCAGAGATAAAGTAGCCCTCGTGGCAAAAACAAGACCAGCACTTATCAACTGCACACCCGTCTTCCTCAGGGTCATGTTTCAGACTTATTTTACATATTGTTGTTGCCTGTCGATATTTTGCAGTATTAACAAAAGCATCTACCCACACACCAAATCCGACCTCTTTTACATAAGATATCAACAAAAATGAAAGCTAAAAAAGAAAAGACTGGAAAAAGGAAGGAGAAGTCTGCGGGTTGATCTGCCATTTTCCACATTGGGTAGATGTGATGAGGGTCTTATCTGATCCAAGGCATTCCAGAGTGTGAAAAGGCTTTTAGAAGCCCACTGCAGAGTGCATTATGTTCTCAAGCTTGATATAGTTTAGTACTGTTAGAGAGGCTCACCACAGGTAATGGGTGTAACCATTGAAAAAATATAACCCATGCGTAACCTGGCAATTTCAAGTTTTTCTTTTTTTTTTTTTTAAACCCAGTATATGTTTTGAAAGGATTTCATTGGCACACAGTTAAGTTTCTTTTATTTTCATCCCAGGAGGAGGAGAATCTGATCCAAAAGTAAATACAAATATCACAGCCTGTCTTTGTGCCATGGACCTGTGATTGATGATCATGGATTATGCCAATTCTGGAAATTACAAAACTGGGGATGCCAATGTGGACAGGAACTAGTGTGTCATCTAATTCCCGTCCTCCCGTCGATATTTGTCTGAACCCCCCCCCCCCGAACTTGTGACTGTCACATATGGACACAAAGGCCCAAAACTCATTTACCCAACAGACAGTCGAGGCTTGAGATGCAGGGTTTCCACCCATTACTGACAGTCGTCATAGTATTAGTGGGGAGTTTTTTTGCCCTCTGAGCCAAACTAAAGTGAAAACCAGTAAGGTTTTCTCTCCACAGCCTTCTTGTCAGACCAGGGAAGTATTCTGACTTAGTAATGGAAAGTCATGGAAGAATCATGGAATTTCACATCAAGACCTCGGTGCCTGTCATACTGCTCGAACCAGACTCAGACGCAGGTCAACTGCTGTGGCTAGTAATGTTTTATAATTGATTTAACCTGCTTTCAGTACCAGGTGGAGTTTATTACCCATAAACAGTATGAGTTAATGTCATTTGCAGAAAATTGATTTAATTAACTTTTGAATGCTTTTGAGAATGCATTCAAAGCAAAACCCATATGCTGCTCCAAAGAGTTTAAACAAAGAAACAGTGATAGTTATGTGATTGTTTTTAAATGACTGATTGAACATTTAAGATGCATTTATGTCCCAGGGTTTATCTGAACGAAGCTTGACAGACGTTTCCCACCATGGCAGCTCTGAGCTTTGTCCTCCTGCCTGGTGCTCTCATGGAGTTTGGATAACCCAGAATCAAAGCTCGTTCTACTGTTGCACTAATTGCTAGTTGCCCTGAACAGCTGAGTCATCTAATGGTAGTGAATGTAGAAATGTGTCCGTGTGGATGTGTCACCTGCTAACTGCACGCTCATCACTCTCCAGAGTGCCGTACTTGGCGGTGGCTCGCACTTTTGAGAAGATTGAAGAGGACTCTGGCAGGTAAGAGCTGGATGAAAAGGGCTTTTTATAAGTAGAAACAACAAGAACTACAGTTTTTGTTGAGGGAAATTCATGTGATTTGTAACTCAAGTTTCCTGCCAAGTCCCTGAAAAAACCTTTAGAGTGTCATTATCTTTGAGGATATTGAATGATGAATGTCCTTGTTTTTCCCACCCACTACAAATGATGTATAGCGTTTCATAAATGAACTGTTCATCTTCCGCTCGAGCTTCCATTTCCGATTAAAACCTTCAGACAAATTTCATTTCCTGCCTCCCAGTGTTTACAGGATGGATTTAAAATTCATTTAACTCATCTTCCTTCTCTCAAAGCAATCCCGTTGTCATTTCCTAGGCTGAGAAACATCGAAACGCTGTCGAACCTGTTTCGCTCCGTGCTGCTGCTCTCTCCAGGTAAATGGTATTTTATCTCTCCCATAATGCATGTTGATGTAGCTACCCAGGCGCTCTATCAGCAGGATGGCGATTTAGCCAGGTTGCAAATAAAAGTGGGAGGATGAGTCAGTTCATTGATGTGTGTTTGTTGGTGTGCGTGTGTGTGTTTGTGTATGGGCATGGACCTGTGGGACGTGTGTGTGTTTTTGTAGCCACATTGCTGTGTGTGGATTTCAATTGTGTCTGAGCCTCTATGTTTTGGCTGTTGCGTATGTGGCCTTGCTTGTATCTCAGTGTCTGTGTTTGGTGGTGTCATGAGTGTATTTCCTTGTTTGTATGTCCTTGTTTATGTGTGTTCACTTGTCTTGTGTGTATCTCTCCGCCTGGATGGTCAAGTTTTGTCATCACGTCTGAGTGTGACTGTGTCCTTGAGTGTGTTTGCAGTCTCAGAGTGCATTCTGCTTTCTTTGTGGTTTTACTCTTATTTGTGTGTCTGTGCTTCTCTGTGCAGGCCTGTATTTTTGTGTCTTTGTCCTCTTTGTGTTCTCTGTAATGAAATGAGCACCTGCCTTTAAATGTGTGTTCTTTTCCAGATGACCTGCTGTGCTGTGTGTACTTGTGTCTGAACCAGCTGGGTCCTGCCTATCTGGGAATAGAGCTCGGCATTGGAGAGACTGTGCTAATGAAAGCTGTCGCTCAAACAACCGGTAATAGGCGTGCACACACACACACAAACACCTACTGTGATGCACCCAAACACTTGTGCATTCCCACCCTAACAGCTGAGACTTTCCTTCTCTGCTCATCAGCCTACAAGGCAGCTGTTATTCACCATCTCACTCTTGTTTCCAGGGCGACATTTGGACAAAATCAAGGCAGAGGCGCAAGAGAAAGGAGATCTGGGCCTAGTGGCCGAGAGTTCCCGTAGCAACCAGCGGATGATGTTCCAGCCGGCCAGTCTGACAGCAGAGGGTGTGTTCAGGAAATTGAAGGAAATTGCCAGCATGAGTGGGAACTCGGTGAGTCCCAGAATAACATTTTCATTTGACAAAAGTAGGCCTGGGAAGGTATTGTTTCCATTCTATTTGACTTTCGGTACTGGTGTCAGAGAGGGGAAATAAAAATATAAATGCAATTGTGTATCAAACAAGGATTTATTAGTTTATTTGTGTGCCTCAGAGGGAAGAGGTAATTTCTCAGCTTTTGAATAATTTGTCACCAGGAACCGCTCAAGCAATTAGTTTCTTTTTCCTCCAATGTTGCTACTGTATTTGTGTGTGTTTTTTATTTTTAACACTATGGATTGAACATGGAGTTTCACTTGCTGGTGACCTCAATCTCTTTGCATTCTGTGTCTTCTCTCTCTTCTTCTGTGAATCTCAATTTCCTCCCCCCCACCTCAGGCCATGAATAAGAAAATCGACATCATCAAAGGCCTCTTTGTGGCGTGCCGCTTTTCTGAGGCCCGCTATATAGTCAGGTAAAATGACACTCTCTCACACATACACAGCCAGGCCTGTGTGTATGTGTGTCTCACACACATCTGCACGTATGTAGCCACAGATATTGCTATGCCGTCTTACCTTCATGCGTGCATGTTGAAACCCATGCATGTCACGGGCATCAGGCATCAACACTGACTGCTCCGGGTCTTGACAGGTCCCTGGCCGGGAAGCTGAGGATAGGCCTGGCAGAGCAGAGCGTCCTGTCGGCATTAGGCCAGGCTGTGTGCCTGACCCCACCTGGACAAGGTAGTTTTAAGTTTTACATGATAGGTTTAAAAATGTTAAAACAACAATTAGGTGCCCTGGTTTTGCTTGCTGTATTATTCCAGCTGTTCCAGTACAAGTAATGGCAGGAAGAAATCCACAGATTTGTGTGCAGAAGTTTACCTGAAGCCCTTTTCAGACATGCACTGGAACCCTAAAATTACCTAGACATCACCAGACAGAGCTATATGTGAGAATGCAAATGCCCAAATCAGTCGACCTGTACTAAAAATACATAAACTTTGGAAGCTATCAACTTGATTTGTCCAACTCGCTCTGCTCAGGCTTCTTATTAGTTTCAGATAAACTTTGAATTATAGTTTTACACAGACTGGGGACTGTGGATTTTGTCCTCTGTCTGCAGAAAAGCTGACATTTTTTATTTAATTTGAAATCTCCAGACTTGTGTTAAAGGTGTATTAATCAGATACTCCAGTACTTGTGGTATGATGGAATTATCCCTGAGCATTAAATGAAAAACCAGCTCACTAAAGGAGAGGAATGTCAGGTGTTGGAGCAGCTAATAAGTTTTATTTAAAGAACACTCATTAAGGCAGTGTTAAAATATTCCTAGCGTTCATTACAATTATTTATAGATGATCGTTGATACATTTAATATGTAAATCAATCCAATATGATGAAATGTATCCCACATAAGCTCATTAAATAAAAAGCCATCAACAAAAACACTGACTGTGAGGTCTGTAATTGGGCGCATGAAAGGGACACATCTCATCAGTAGAGTATGCTGCTGAATTCATCACTTTCAGGCAAAAGTTTTGACAGTTTCTCTCTGAGCACTGATCTGACCTGCTCTCTCTCTCTCTCACCACAAACACCAAATTAAAATAATTCTGACGTATTAGTATTCGTGCCTCATTCTCAACTGGAGGTACGCTTTCATAAGAGTCAATTAGACCCGAGGCTCAGTGGGGAGATTTTGTTGATCTGTGGTCTGGTCTGGAAGTGTTCTTCTTAATCTTTTATTTATTTAACCATTATTTAATCAGGCAGGCCAACTAAGAGCAATTTTTTGTGGTGCTGAAGTGGATCATTACGATTAATAATTTAGTGTTCATGTTTTAAATATGTTGTAATAATTGATGTTAAACTGAAAAACTTTCTCTTTTACCCTTCAGCCTTGTATTATCTTAAACATTTCAGCCACACTGGGACTGAAATGACATCTTTGGATTGAGTGTATCCAGTAGAAAACACTGAGTTGCAGCTAGCTACACCAGTGACTGCAGTGTATATTTCTTGGCCTTTGAAGTCGCTCTGAACTTTTCATCCTACAAGTGTCTGGTCATACAAATGTTCAAACTCTGTTTGAAATGTATTTTCCCCTCCATCCTTGTAGGTTTTCCTCCTGCTGTGATCGACGCAGGGAAAGGGATGAGTGCTGAGAGCCGGCGGGCCTGGATCGAAGAGAAGAGTCTCATTCTCAAACAGACTTATTGGTAACTGAAGCCTAAACAAACCCCGTTGCTTCACTTTGCAGTCTCTTGTCAGCCCCACTACAGTCCCTCATCTCCCTTAAGCCCTGTTCCTCAGTCTCCCTCACTCATTCTGCTCACTTTCATTTTGGATGATATTGATTTTTTTTTTTCTTCTTTGTCTCCCAAACATCCCGCCTCATCTTCCACTGACTCCCCATGCGCTCCCGTCTAGCGAGATGCCCAATTACGACGTGCTCGTCCCTGTTCTGCTAAAAGAAGGCATAGACCAGCTGCCCAATCACTGCAAGCTCACTCCAGGTAAGCAGCCAATCAGGAGGCAGGGAGGTTATTTCATCCAAAACAGTGACTGTTGTGTGTTTATTGATCTGTTCAGTGGAGATGAGTCAGGTATTTTAGTTGAGTCATCTACTATACTTGGGATTAGCGCTCATTTACACTGTTGTCAAGTTATTTGCAACAAGGAGTCCTGGCACCAAGGTAGGAAATTAATACCAGTCGCCCTCAGAACGTTACTAAATTGGGAAACTGAATTGGCTGCTGTTGATCAATTTGACAAATCTAGCTGCTATTTTTGTAGTTAGGAAATCGGTGTTCTGTTCACAAACGCAAAGGGTGCTCCTGAATTTTTGGATCGCACCGAGAAGTTTACAAACATTACTGTGCTGTCACATCTGGCTCTGTAAGCTTCAAATAAAGGAATTTTTTTTTTGGTATATTTCATTATATTACTCCTCTGCTGCTGTTGGAGCTTAACTTAGCAGTGCAGCCCAAGGGCATGTGAGTCAGAGCGCTTTCATATTAGGGCCAAATGAGAATACAAACAAACAAATTTAAACTGTGGTCTTGTCACAAATAGCTGTGGGTGTGATGCTGATATGTCATGTGGGAATGTGTCATTGAAGCTAATTTCACAGCTTCTGGGTTTTTTGCAAATGCATCTGTGATCTGCCTCGCTGCTGTAACCTGGAGGCCCGTTAGCACCAGCCCCACCTCTCCTCCTCTCCACATGCAGCAGAAAGTGTCAGAAACTACTCCTGGGCTAATTCACAATTAGGTTTTTAACTATTTATAATTCATGAAAAATGCATGACTATTTTTTACTTGACGTCCCACTGTTTGTAGCTGTTTACTTCTTCTGATTGTCTCGCCAATTTTCTTCCAGGTGTACCGCTGAGACCCATGTTGGCTCACCCCACCAAGGGTGTCGGCGAGGTGATGAAAAAGTTTGACGAGGCAGCATTCACCTGCGAGTACAAGTACGACGGAGAGCGTGCACAGGTATGTGTTTGTGCATGGTGGTGGCTAAGTAAGAGATGAAGCTATTTGTTTTTCTTGTATTTCTGTAGTGAACTAAATTTTGTATGCATACAACTTTTGGCTGTGTTCTTTGAGTGTGACACATTGCTGCACTGTGACTGTTCATTTGAGTCTTGTGTTTCTACAGTGTGCAGAGTACTGTGCCTATTCTTCCGAGATAAACAGCAGGGCTGATTTTGCCCTGGGCCTGTAGGAAGAGTGAGCTACTTCTGCCATTGTAGACCAGAGATCGAAGGGTGGGGGTGGGTTGGAGATGGAGAACAGTGAGGAAAGAGGCTAGAGACACATAAGAGGAAAGGGAGACACAAAACAGGAGACGGTGGGAATGAAGAAATTTCAAGCGAGAGACATAAAGGGAGACACAGCCAGAGAGAGGGTGTAATGTAAACCCCTCCAGCTGTATTGTTAATTTTGGACAGTCATGCCAATAAAGTGTCTTTGAACTGTGAAGACGAGAGAGAAATGGAAACAGAAGGAGAGAGGATTGAGCCACAGTGAGCAAACCCTATGACGTCCTTCTTCTTTCTCTCCGTTTTCTCTCTCTCTCTTTCTGGTCTCACTGCAGTAGACTTTACCTCCAGCAGCCAGCAGAGGGACTCGTGGTACACTACTCAGTTAAACACTCCCTTTGTGTGTGTGTACAGTATGTCTACACGATATTGTGTGTGAGTGTGTCCAATTCAGTGAATTTCCATAAGAAGAATTTGTGTGTGTGGCATTTGATTAATCCAGATAACCGTGCATGTTTTCATGGGAGTGTGCTGCCCATCTAATCAGTCAAGTAAGTGACTGTGGATGTATTTCTTTTTGTTTTATGAGTTTACTTATAAGAGACAATGCTCATAGATCAACTGAGGAAAGTACATTAGCAAAAGTCATTTGTTCTCCCTGGCCAAGTATTTAAAAATAGAATACACCAACACATCTTTTAAAGTACATTATAACAGATATTGTGCATTAGACAAAACAGGAACGCTGATATGTATAGTGTTTAGCTACTGTAAAACATTTGGCTGCAGTCCACATTAAGGAAGTCAAATGATCAAGAAAGAAAATATGCAAGGAAAGGGATGGCTGAGGGCACCAGGGCTGCATCTCAAGTCTCTATGCATCCATGTTTTCCCTCACTTGTTTTTTTTCCTTGTGTCTTAGTCCCACCCACTTAAGATGCAGGGAGAAAATGTTTGGAAGGCAGAGTGGAGGAAACATTTTTAGAGACATGAGACGTCCTTTTGTCCGATCCTTCATCTGAAGCGTCCAGTCACCAACTGATTTCTGATAAAGACGCATGTTGGTCTGTGAAACATCTCTTGCTATCTCTTGTCTCATGGCTCCTTCTGGCAGCCTCCTTGCTCCTCAATCCTCAGAGCAGATTTAAGCGTCTCGGGGCATCCTTGATCCTTGCTTGACTGGAACGACTTCTGGGTCAAGACTGACCACAAGATGGCAACAACTAGTGTTGTATAGTTCATGTCTGATTATTAATGAACCACAGCTTCAGCTGGTACTGAGTTGTCTGATAACTGGTTTCATTCTTCTCAAATCAAGTCAGTTTTATTTAGAGATTTACTCTAAGACCCCGTTTAGACTTGGTTTAAAAATGCGTCCTGGGTGATCGGCTCACATGTAGACGGTGCAAAATACAAGTGTAAATGACCACCCAGACGGATTGTGATCCAGTCACTGAAACCACTTGCTGAGGGGGTCTGGGACACATTTGACCACAAGTCTTTTGTAGTCTAAATACTGATGTTTCTGACAAGGTTGTTCGAGGACAATACATCATCAATGCAGGACGTTGTGGTTGCTTTGGTTAAAGCGTGTCAGTGCTCAAAGAAAGAAAAAAATGGAGACATTCAATTCAAATCCATCGATGTATTGTGAAATCTTTCATAATGCATCCATGTACAAATCTGGCACTTGTCTTTTCCTTCCTCTTTGGTAAGAGAGACTACTGGCGCTTGTCTGGTAACAGACTGATGTAATTATTGTGCCCGTGGCCTTTCAGTATTTAAGCAGCAGTAGAGAAATCGAAACACAAGTGGCCAGCGTCATTTAATGGGAACACTGGGCACTGTAATATGCATATCTGTAAACATGACAAGTCATGTTTTATTTAATTTCAGTAAATTTGTAACCATTTGTTTCACCATCCAGTCAAGCCTCTGCATACAAACAGTATGTGACTGTTTTCTGCTTTTCTTCGTCTTGTGTCTAATTTGACTTTTCTGACAGTAAATGTCTTTGGGTTATGTACTGTCAGACCAAACAAGAAATCTGAAGATGATCTGAAGATTAAACTCTGGGAGATGAAGAATTTTGATATTTTTTTCAATTCTATGGTGAATCAATTAAACTACTTGGCAGATTATTCCTTACAGCCCTGGTAAGCTGTTCAGTCAAGGAAGAAAAGCAGAAGAGCCCACGTTCACTGCTGAGTGACCGTGAATGCTTCCGGCTTCATTTTCCGCCAGAAAGCTGTGTTTTAAGGCATATGACTTGTCTCTCGGCCAAGGCACGGTAAGCATTTTAGGCCTCCGTTATCATCTGATCTGACACAGTGGCCGTCCCAGAAGACAAAAATATTGATTAGTGTACAGTGTGTAATATACTATATATATGACTCGAATCGCCTGATCTCCATCTCTATGATCATCTTATATGACACAGTGATCATTTCAAAAGACAAAAATGGTGTGGCGTCTTGGCATCATGTGAAGCGGTAGTGAATTCCACCTACATGTGAAAGTCCTATGGTTAGCTGTCAGGTACTAACTACAAAACAGGCATTATTCACACATCCATGTGTTGGGTTTAATACTAAAATCCAATCTGCCTTTTGTGAAATTAACCTTTTAAACAAGTTTTAAAACCAGACCCGCTTCTTGTTGGTTTTTTTTTAATTTTTTTATCCCCCCACAGATTCACATTCTAGAGAGCGGTGAGGTTCGAATATTCAGCCGCAACCAGGAAGACAACACCAGCAAATACCCTGATATCATCTCTCGCATTCCCAAGGTAAATCCCACCTGAACACAGTCTCTGTGAGCTGTGATTGTCAAATGGGGGCTTTTACAGCGGTGTGGATAACAACCTCTCACATTTATCTCACTCCCTCTCTTACCATCTTCCATCTGTCTGGTTTCTATATGTCCTCTCTGCCTCTGTCTGTCTAGGTTTGAAACCCCTCTTCAAGGTTAGTTTGTTTATTCCTTTGCTTGTCCTTTCCCTTCCTTGTCCTCCTGTCCCCCTTCACCCATCAACAGGTATCACTGGCCATTACTGGGTTTTTTGTAGTCGGGAGAGGTGCCTACTAAGAATGGAAATGTGAAATCAGCTAGTCATAAAACTTCATCTCTCCAGCACGTCAAAAACAGTAGTCGGTCAAATTTAAGCTGCAGCTGTGGGTTGGCGTGCCAATTAGTGAGACTATGCTTGTGTGGGGGGAGAGACGGAGAGAGAGAGAGAGATCACCAGTACCTGAAGCTGTGGCAGTTGGCCTGGGGTTATCTGAGCACGCTCACTACCTCAGCGCCTGCTGTGTATGTTTTTCTGCTTTAGTAAGGAACTGCTCTGACGTACCAAATAAAACTATTTGCTCCCTCCACTCTTAGCGATATTAAAGTAAATTCCCATCTGGTGTGTACTAATCAGGGTGGGTTAGTGAATCAGATAAATTCTCTGAGCAGTTCAGGAATATTACTAATGGGCCCCTTTGCTGGAATTTATAAAGACATAGTTATTAACTTGAATTTATAAGAAACCAGGTGAACTTCTCATGCACTGATTTCTATGTCGGTGACCTCCTCAAAACAAGAACTGCAATTTGTTTATCAAAACAGATTCAGGAAAAAGCTGCACTACAGTGGTTACAAAGAACAAAAGCATCACCTTGTCGTGATCATTTAGACGAGTTTTATTTTTAACTAATGGACTGACAACTGTCAAGGTTTTAAGCAACCCGCTTCACATAATGATTTGAAAATGGTTTTCCACAGCAAATGTCATTTTTCAGGTCAAACCTCTCCTTTCTGGAATTCACACTTATTACTGCTCTAAGGATTCTTCTGAGTTGAAAAACAAACCCAAGGAAAGGCAGTTTTGGTGTTTTATTCATCCTTCACACATTATTTGCAAAATTACAGAAATGATGCATCTCGGAATTGGATTTGAATATTTCCTGTCTACATCAGTTGACGTACATACAGGGGTTAATTTGTGCCATAATAAGCCGGATCCGCATCCGGTGCCACTCAAATTACGACCAGGGTTAGGGTTAGATGACTTGGTAAAAACAAAATGACAATTGTACAAACTACCAAAAACCACAGAAGTGCCCTCTGGGAAAATGCATCTGATTTTGAGTTTTTAGTTTGGCTCATGTCCCATCCAGTAACATGGAGGAGGTGCGATATATGACCTATGCTACAACCAGCCACCAGGGGGCGCTCACATTGCGGTGGCTTCGCTTCTGGGAGCTGTCATGGCATCCATATTTTACACAGTCAATGGACACAACATATCCAGCGTGCGCTGGTCACACTGGGTACACGTTCAGTGTAACAATAGCCATGTGAAAGAACAAAAATTGCGTTATGGGCTGTTTTAAATAACTGAAGAACATGTTTATTTAATGTTATTGCGTTATCTAGTCTTCAGTGTGCTTTAAATGTGTTGCTGTAATATTTTGAATATAATGTTAATGTGGAGTAAGGAACTCCCCAAATATTTTAAAGTGACGGTCATGGCCTCGCACTCCTAATGTAAACAGCATCACTCGCACTCGACGTTTATAACTCGCAGTTGCAAATGCGTGTCTTCTTATGTGAGCTGTTGATCTACACAAACAGACAGCAAATAATGTTTTGCTTCTAAGCTGCTTCCTTAATGTGGAAACTTCTCAAATGCTCTGGTCATTGAGAAACTATTCTCCTTCTGGGACCTCGTCTCCCATCAATGACATGCTGGGTCCATCATCAAGTGATATTCTGGGACTTCATAATTTACAAATTAAGCATTGCATACGCGATATCTCAGATATAAATAATCAGGTTTTGAATGAATTTTGAGAGGATGTCTCTCATTGGAGGGTACTGTCAAAGATGTCATGAATTAAATCCCACACAGTGATCAGACTTTAAAATGAGCTGGCTGTTGACTAACTAGAACTAGGCAAAGATGAGGAGACAAAACGAAAGGTTGAGAGTTTTCAACCAGGCCTAAACAGAATGTGTAGATTATTATTATTATTATTATTATTATGTGCAGATGGGGGCAAATATGTGCTTTCTACTTTCTTTTCAAAGTCTGCAGAGCTATCGTTGAAATTCGGCAGGCGCAGATTCCATTTGGGCCTGGTGTTCAACTGCAGGTTGAACAAAAGTGACCAACATGCAGCTGTGTAACATGGTGGCCCAGTAGGTCATCTTTTTTCCCAGTATTGCCTGTTTTCATCCTGCCACTATGGCTGCGCTGTGGGGATTATTGCACCGGAACACTGTTATGTCCCTGCTGTGTAGCAAGGACACTGGGAGCCAGCCCTCACTCAACCAGAGCTGTGTCTTATGTTAAACTGGCCGAATATTCAAGTGGTTATGCTGGGTGCTGGAGAGAAGGTTCTGTTTTTAAAAGTCTCAGGTTTCAGTTCTCAGTACGTTTGTGGCTTCTAACTGAATCTTTGGTTTGGCCTTGAGCTTAATGCATCCTGTTTGTTCTTTCACATACTAGTCTTGTTCTATTATTTAGCAATCGCTTGTGCGGCTCCTGTTAGAGCCATATGAAATTACTAGTAAAGCAAAGTGAACATTTACTCCTGCTTTATAGTCAAAACCTTCCACTGGTGCAACTCTCTCTTCTCACTTCCTGTCATCTGTCTAATTTGGGGCATAAAAATGACTCAAATACTTAAAAAGAAACTTCATTTTCTAGCAGCAAACTGGCAGACAGCTTTTATTATGAAGCAGCCATATGGGAAGAAATGCAATATGTTTGTCACCAAGTTTTCTTTGTTAGTGGCCCCAGCAGGATTTGGAGTAAACTGGCGGCATTTGGCTGGGAGGAGTGGTAAAGGGAGAAATGGGTATAGTGAGGGTTTAAAGATACTTGTACTTGGGTTTGTGCACACGGCTCACCTCCAACACATCGAGGCAGAAACAGTCGCCCGCTGCGCTTTTCTGTGGAAAACCAGTAGCTCTGACATGACTTGAAGGGTTGCAGTTGCTCTTGGCTCAGCTTAGTACAAGTATGCCCCCCCACTACATAGTACTACTCTGTACTTTTCTGCCCTTCCTTTTGTTCTTTCTCTCACTCACCTTGTATCTCATTATTTCACATCACATCTGCCTTCTCATGCTGACTTTCATCAGTTTTTTTTTTTTGCACCTTTTCTTTTCATAGCTTTTAAATCTACATGGTTCTTTGTCTCCCACCTTCACCCCCTCGCTCTCTGTCCCCTTGTCTCTTTCTCATGGCTCTAATCATCCCTCGCCTCTCTTCTTCATTACTTGATGATTTCTTGTTCGTTTCCTCGCTTCTCTCTTTTCACCTCTTCTCACTCTGGTCTTATCCATCCTTGTCTTTCTCCTCCTCTCATCTTTCTTTCAACACTTTGATACAGCTCTTCCGCTGTTTCACTTTTTTTGGTCCTTCTCTTGACACCCTTCCCTTTTCACCACTCCTCTCTTTGTACTCTTTACATGTTCACTTTTTCTTTGTTGTTTGTTGACGCTTCGGTCTGCTGTCTTTTTGGTTCCTCTTTATTCTGTGTCCCTTCATTCTGTTTGTCTTTCAAACTCTTTTTCCACACAAGTCCCTCCCCTCTAAAACCCTTTTTGGTGTCTTCTCTCTTTTCCTAATTTTCTCTGCGCCCCTTCACCTGTATTTCTTGGAACTTTTTTTCTCTTTACCTCTTAACCGTCTCCATCTTTCTTAGCACCACGTAAACTATTGTTTTGGAAGGAAAAAGCAATAAGCAGTGTGAAAAGCTTGGGCATTTGTGCCTAATTTGCATGTTTGATTCAATTTGCCCTGATATAATTTTATGTAATGACATTTAATCAATTTGTGCTGTCCATGTCAGTTGTTTAAATTAGGCTTTTATCAAAGAAATCGATTGCTGACCCTTAATGTGGCAGACGATTGATTAAAGAAATTGCATAAATAAAAAATTTCATCCCCTGTCCTGATATTGTGTTGTCATGGCAGCGTCTGGGTGTCGACACATTGTGAACAAAATAAATGAGCTATGCCTGAGTGAAACTTCACACTAGCATAGAAGAGACGGTCTGATTAGATTTTACAGCACCTTGCTGCATTATTTTGCATATTAATGAGGGAGAACTCATTTTTCTGATGCTGCCATAGAGCCCTAATGCTTTAAATTATTAATTAAAATTACAGCGTTAACACATCAATATTAATACTGAATCCGTAATTAATGCATTACTTAGCCTAATGACCTTATGAGGACAGCTGCTTATGCTTGATGTATTTGACTTGTTTCCAAACAACCTGTTACTTCTAATATGGGTCTGATTGACTTCCTCTGATCACCTTCAGATTCTGCTCGCTAATCGAATTCAGCTCTGATTGAAGTTGTAAATTTTAATATTTGGAAAATCATGGGGGCTTTGTGTGATCAGGAACAAAGAGATCAATCTCACACATTGGATTTAGTAGCTTAGATAATTAGCAGCCTCTTAGTCTCATTTTGAAAATAAGTGGTGAGTCCGTGGGCCAGTGAATTGCTGGGCTGTACAGCACAGAGTATTTTCAGGCTACACAAGTTAAAAGAAAGGTAAAGATAATATATTATAGTGTAAAATTAACAGCATCTTGTTAAATTCCTTGGTTGATCTTGTGTGAATATCACATTAATTCCATTTGCATCAGCAGCAGTAAATGAAGTGTGTGGGCTGCTTGAACATAAATCGTAATGATTACCTCATAACAAAGGTGTGATTTATGTCCCCCAAATCATATTATATATTATTTGCAAGTAGCTTTCATTCTTTGAATCATAGCCTTAACTGAAACTTTATTTAAATGCCAATATTCTGGTTCAGACATTACACGTGGCTGTAATTCTAGGTGTATCTGTTTTCTCTAGGATAAAATAATGAGTTATGGATGCAGAAATGTCTGACCTAAAGTTCTGATGCAATTACAAATCAACATACATCAGATTTCCTATGCAGTATCTTTATTATTACTATTAAAATTTAATAGCAACCAATGTAGCATTCTATTTCAATAATTTTAAAAGCATGTACAAAAATAATATTTTATTGAGAACACATCAAAATTCACCTGTGTTACATCTTAAATGTATGTCAGAATTTTAAGGGCTTGTGTTGTAAAGAATTAGAGGTACTGGGTCTTGTTACTTTTTGCAGGGTGGAGGGTGAGGTAATTTAAGGATCTGGGCTGTAGCCCCTCCCTGGCCACCCCTTAGCAGCACCACTGGGTGACGCTCATTGTAGTCTGCCCATGAGCTAGATGGTTTATTCCCAGCGTAAACCCAATCAGTGTTTTTTCCTGCACAGGGAGATAACTTTTAGCTGCCAAAGCATTTTGCTTAATGCAGGAATAAAGTGAAGCTTTTGGCATAATGTAGGCATCTGAGCAGAATGGGTGGGTGTGTGTTAACAGTTTGGTAATTGGTTGAGTAGAAGAGATGGCAGCAACAGACATGGCTACTCAAGAGAAGCAATAAATGCAGGGCAGAAAAAAATGTTAATGTGTTGACTTCCAAAGCATTTGGCAACAAATTGAGGGCAGCTGTAGGTCCTGAAACAGCCTGAACATGTCTTCAGTTTGATTGCCTGTATTCATGCATTTTAAAAGCTCCAGGTTAAATCTAAGTTTGACTGTGTTTGAATCCCTGAGTTTGTCGGAAACTTTCAATCTTCTGTTTGCTACAGCAGATGTTGCTTATTAGAAGTCTGGCAAATAACATCAGCAGGCTTTTTTAAATCCTGAAAAATGTCTTCTGCGTACATTTTCTATGTTTTTATAACTCTCTTTTGCTGTGTCTTCATCATGCTTTTCCACAGGTGAAGAAGGACTCTGTGGTATCCTGCGTCCTGGACTCAGAGGCAGTTGCCTGGGATCGTGAGAAGAAACAGATCCAGCCTTTCCAGGTCCTCACCACCCGTAAGAGAAAGGTATGGATGGAGAGGAATATAATAAGATGAAAGAATAAGATGTCCTGGTGTCATATAGGTAGAGAGTAGGAGATGATTGGAGTAGAAAAATAAGTGGAAAGGTTGATGTGAGAAGACAAGACAGAGATAATGACCAGAAGTGAGAGGGGAGTGAAATGATCCCGCAGACTGAGTGAGATGGACGGAGAAAGGGGCAGATTGATAGGCAGGAGACAGAGGAGTCAGGTGGACTGAGGAGAGAGGAGGATGGTGTGAGATTGCAAATGTCAGCCAGGTGTTTTTCAGTTTTGATCTGAATAACGGCCTCTTTGCACCACACCAATCACATTAGAGTAAAACTGCTCCCTTTACCCTGACATCCTGTATGCGTGATGACATTGTTGTAAATTAGGAAAGGAGAAATGAGACTGCAAATACAGAGTACATGGTGATGAAAATGACTGTCGTGATGATTTTTTTGTCTTTGCTGGATGCTGTTAACTGTCACTATGATTATCTGTAATGATAGTTTGATACGGAAGCTAACTGTGCCGTCTTTGTGGCATTGTGTTAACATCTCGACTCTTACTAACACAGATGTTCTGGCTGAAATGAAATTTTCAGATGTGATTAAACCAACATTAATGAATGGAGGGACAGAAATGAGGGTGTGAAAAAGGAGAATGAAGGAGAAGTGGGATAAATCACAGGAGAGGATTTTTCAGGTCCGAAGACTAGAGGGGTTTTATTTGAAACATTGAACTTTAATTTGCTGATCGCATCCATTTATTGCTGCCCACTGCTCACAGAACGTCTGTAATATTAAATATTATAATTTTGAAGAGGCGGCATAGTGGTACAGTGATTAGCGCTGTCGCCTCACAGCAAGAAGGTTCCGGGTTCGAGCCAAACGTTTCCTAGCAACTGATGTATACCTTTCTAAAGTTTGTCATTTTGTAAAAGTTCCCTGTGTAGAGTGTGGATGCCTGACGGGACCTGTCGATACCTGAGGGTTCTGGTCAAGTTCAAAGACGTTGGTCAAACTTTAGGCTAGACAGCTGGAGCGCTCAAATGTCTGCTTTGTTTAATGATAAGGGCCAAAACACCGTCCAAACTCAACTGTGTCAGGCTTGGGTTGGGTTCGTGCATTGTATACCATAAGCTTGTCAGGTCCGGTCTGATGTGGACGCCACACTCTAAGGCTCAGGTCAGGTTCAGTCAGAAATATGTGGCCCAATCTATGCTATATCACTCACCATTGCTCCTTTGTGCTACTACTACCGGTCAGAAACTCAACAGGCACTTCTAAGTTTGAATGGTGCAACCCGATTTAGAAAATCACTAGATTGCAACAGCCTGGTGGCTGTGAAGAAGTGACTTCACTCACTGACTTGGTAATGGATTGCAATAGTTGGTGTAGCGCAGTCCTAGGAATTCAGTCTTGCGTCAGTGCAGTTATAGGAAAGTTACAGACTTCTGCATCAGGGCCAGAGTGGAAACCCTGTAATAAGGCAGACTGGAGAGCATAGGGACTGACAGGAGTAAACAAGAACAGAATAAACAGGATTAGGTGCTGTAGAGGTGAGAGCAGGAGATGGAGAAGTAGAAGAAGTTGGTGAAGTGAGTGGCAGGAACTAATACGCTGGAGGAGAGGAGTGAGCAGCAATAAGCTGTGATGCTGCTAAAAGGTAGATACAGGACCAGAAAGCAGGGTGGGTAACTCAAGATCAACAGGAGAGAAATCAAAGAGCTCTTTGCAACAAGTCCCAAGGTTGTATGTAGCAATTTGTGAATAAGATGCGTGTATTTACATATTTTTGTCAAGGGAAAAATATTAAAATGTATGTATGCTTCCCTGCAGGATGTGGATGCCTCGGAGATCAAAGTCCAAGTATGTGTGTACGCCTTTGACCTCCTCTATCTCAACGGCGAGGTGAGGCCTGGAGATGTTAAGGAAAATATTACCCAAAGATCTCTCTTGACACTCCTGTCGTCATTTAAAACAAGCTTGTGTGTACGTGGTTATTGTTTGTGAGCTTGCTCGTCACCCCGCCGGGACGCCAACAACATCTCTGAATGCCAATGATGGTGCTACTGGATGCCGTAACTAGATTATGATTTTAATGCTCATTGTAATTCCAGCAGACTGTGCGTCTGTCTGCGACTCTCAGAGTCTGTGTGTATAAAAAGAGTCATTGCCATTCTGAGACTATATGTCAGACCGTGTGTGTTGTGGGTGGTAATTGTGACTGGGGGTGGGATTGAGTGTGTTGTTTCCATCCAAATAATGCACATTTTAAGCAGGTTTCTTAAAAGTCAGCTGAAGAAAATGCAAATTAGTTAATGGTTCTATCACCCAGTGCCATGTCAATTCTCCCAAGTGGGCAGAAACAGAATTACATAATAAAAAGAGCAGCAGTGACTCTTAAGCTGTGCCATTTCACTGCTGCATCCTACTGTATCTAATAAGACATTTATGTAAATTTTGTGAATTAATTTGTCTATGTAAGTGCATGATTTTTTTTTGCTGTTGCCCTTTTTATTCATCAATTTATTAATTAATATTTTATTGTTTATTTCTTCGTTCTGCAAATTGAGCGTGTCTAATCCCCTGTGCGCTGTGGTACTTGCCACTGCTTACTCTAATGGTGTCCTCAGAGGGTTTGTTCATGCTATCCCCATGATACAATGGCAGCCATAGAGAACACCAAGGTCATGTCCTTGGCCCTTTTTTGGAATTTAGCAGGTTTAATGGTTTGAGAGGACGTTGAAATGAGCACATGTTGGGTTTATAAGGCATTCCTCAGACTGGATGTTTTTGAATGTGAGTTTTTATACAAAATTCAAAGAAATAAAAAAAAAAAAAAGCAACATTTATGTATGACATGCATCAAAACACATGCACCCAATGTTTGTTATGGGAGCCTCCACACTGCTGGTGTTGTATGTCAAAGTGCCAGAATATGCCACGGTCTCATTTCCCAGCAGTGACATGCATCAACCCTCCAGAAAAGTAGCAGTTTTATCTCATTCACTCTTCAGATTGGCCTCTCCCGACTTCGACTGTTTCTTCTGTCTGCACCGTATATTTGGTGTGACTTTGCGCTGTAGGCCTCAACTGCCACGTCAGATGAGCTGAAATATCAAGTGTGTGGTGTTCTTAAGACTTGGATTTAGGGGAGTTTGATTCCATTTCATTCAGTGTTGATTGCACAAATCCCCAAAAACTACAGTACGTGGTCAGAAACATGTTCATAGGCCTTATGTTTTTTGTGTGTGCAACCAAGGCTGCGTGTGTTTTGCAGCTTCAAGACTGTGTGTGTCTGTGTGGGTGTTTGCATTTATGTCTAAAGCTGTTGTGACTGTGTATCTGTGACTACTCTGAGACTGTGTATTTATGTGTGTGGGTAGCTAGTTGAGATGGTATTTTGTCCTTGTCACTGCAAGGCTCCAAGCTATGAAGAGGAAATGGTTGTAATGACGCACATTTTTACCATTTGTAATGCTGTGTGTTTTCTCTCTCTGTGTGTGTGTGTGTGTGTGTGTGCAGTCCCTGGTGCGACAGCCGTTGTGTCGGCGTCGGGCATTGCTGAGAGAAAGCTTCACAGAAGTGGAGGGAGAGTTTCTGTTCGCCCGATCCATTGACTCCAACAACACCGACGCCATCGCAGAGTTCCTAGAGCAGTCTGTCCGAGGTGTGTGTGTGAGTGTGTGAGAGGCAGATGGAGTCAGACTTTAATACTTGTTTTCTTTCTTGCTGTCTCCTTTTGTGTGTGTGTGTGTGTGTGTGTGTGTGTACTAACTGTACTTGTTTCCTCGCCTGCTGTCCCTGTGCGTCTTAAACCTACTTGCATGTGGGTGTGTTGCGTGAGGGTTTCATTTCATTCGTGCCTTTGCCTGCTGCCTTTATGTGTAAATTGTGTGATGAGTGTGTGTAGTAGTTGTTTCCCTGTCTGCTGTCTGTTTGTTTTGCCTGGTTGCATTTTTGTGTGTTTGTGTGCGTGTGTGTGACAGAAACTGAGTTGTGTAATTCAGTTTTCTTGTGTTGTGTGTCACTGTATATAAGAAAGAACATAGAATTGTGTTTCCCCATGTGTATTGTGTATGTATGAGTCATATGCCTGTGTCCTTGTCTGCGGTCTCTCTTTGTGTCCTGAACCTTGGTGTTTGTGTGCATCTCAGGAGACAAAGACCTTCCATGTATCTGAAAGATAATCTGTTAATTTCCTTTCTGCACGAGTAGAATTGTGTTTTGGTGCATTAATATGTGTGTGCGTGTGTGTAGACTCCTGTGAGGGCCTGATGGTGAAGACTCTGGAAAAGGATGCCACCTATGAAATTGCCAAGCGCTCTCATAACTGGCTGAAGGTGTGTATGTATGTATGTGCGTTATATACCGTAACTCACATATACTATACACACACTGCTCCTAAGCATGGACACACACTGACACAAAATGCACACATTTTCATTTATTAGGTAATAGATATGTAATGGTAACGAAAACTCTACGATATTGCCACGATAAAAAGTCCATGATGCGATGTTTATCGTGGCAATATCGTAGAGTTTTAGTTATGTTTATCATATTTAAAAAATGAAGAAAAAAGATGGGGGGAAACCCCTTTACAAAATAATATATTTGTGTTTTTTTGTGTGTGAGATTGTCTTTTTAAATTAAAGTCCTCCTGTTTCTTTGCTTAGTAAAGAAAAAGTAGTCCGCCATGACCAAAGCATGTGCAAAAAATTGGCACAAACTCTTATTGACACTGAATTGCGAAACAAAAGATAATTCAGCGGTCACTAGCAGACCTTTTACGATCTAAATAAAATGATATTGCAGCAGCTGGATCTCGTAAACAAAATGGGTCATACTCGCAAGGGAGCATCAGTGTTTTAGTACACCCAAGGCAGGTTTAATTTTTTCTGGTGGCCATGCACACCGTGGTCAGGTTCTCAGTACTGGACCAGTTGAAGCGGGTTTCCCTAACCACCGGGGCAGTGGTGAGCAGATTGCTGCTTGGTGCACCAGAACAGGGGAGAAGAAGATTCCAAACCGTACTCAGACAAGTCACATAAAGCTACAGTACCTTTTGTGCTTTACTCGAGGTGTTCTTCAAACATTGTGGTGTACTTTTTCAGGAGAAAAATAATTAAGGATGGTTACTAAGTGGTTGTTTTTGCGCATGCATTCAATTTTTTTTTTTTTTTAATAAAATTTTATTTATAAGGGACTATGTACAATATTAAACATAAATGTTGCTGTATGATGTAGTGTACCAGAGTTATCTTAAAGCTAATTTTCATGTGCAGTCCCATCTCCATTAAAGTGTAGCACAGCCCTGTCTGACCTGTTTCTTCAGGATATATCCATCTGTCTCAGTCATAAACAGGCCTAGTATTGCCTTCATCTGGCAGATTTGTAGGGTTTTTCCCTCTGTAGTAGTAGTAGTAGTAGTAGTAGTAGTAGTAGTAATGATGATGATGATGATAAGTTCTAGTGTCCTGAGATGACTTTTGTTGTGATTGTATGCTATACAAATTGGATTAAATTATCTGAAAGTTATTATTCATTAGTCAGGTTATGTCAGTTTCAAATTCTGCAATTTGGGTACATTTGTTAACAAAATAACTATAGGTAATTTCCTAGTAGACACCGTCACAGTCCCACAAAGGTATCGATGTTTTTGTATCGAGATCTCTTGAAATGACAAATATCTCTATTAGGTACACCTAGCTAAAGCTGAGTCAGTCTAATACAACCAGTCTGAAATGCATCCTCCCTGGTAATGTTCCATGTTTGTTGAAACTGTTTCAGGAAGGTGTTGGTTCATCAGTGTGGTTGTTTTGGAGGTTGTAGTTTAACTCTTTAACTGTACTCTCACTGATATACAGTCTTATGCAAAAGTTTAGGCACCCCTTGATAAATAACAGATTTTGGTGATTTTTTATTTGAACAGATGTTAACACAGTTTCTCTTGGAAATGGAAAAAATGCACAATATTTTCAGCAAACAGTGATGCATAGTTACTTCTTATGCCATAAATTGAACAAAAATAAAAAATAAAAACATTATTATGGCATGGTGCAAAGGTTTGGGCACCCTACACAATCAGTACTTAGTAACACCTCCTCTGGCAGATATCACAGCTTGCAAACGCTTTTCATAGCCAGCTAAAAGTCTTTCAATTCTTGTACTTGGGATCTTCTCCCATTCTTCCTTGCAAAAGGCTTCTAGTTCTGTAATATTCTTTGGTCGTCTTGCATGCACAGCTCTTTTAAGATCTACCCACAAATTTTCAATGATGTTTAAATCAGGGGACTGTGATGGCCATTCCAAAACCTTCAGCCTGCGTCTCTTGAGGTATTCCATAGTGGATTTCGAGGTATGTTTAGGATCATTGTCCTGTTGTAGAAGCCATCCTCTTTTCAGCTTCAGCTTTTTTACAGATGGTGTGATGTTTGCTTCCAGAATTTGCTGGTATTTAGTGGAATCCATTCTTCCCTCCACCCGTGCAATGTTTCCTGTGCCACTGGCTGCAACACAACCCCAGAGCATGATAGATCCACCCCCATGCTTAATAGTTGGCAAGGTGTTCTTTTCATGAAATGCTGCTCCTTTTTTTCTCCAAACATGCCTTTGCTGATTGTGTCCAAAGAGTTCTATTTTAACTTCATCAGTCCACAGCACTTGTTTCCAAAACGCATCGGGCTTCTGTAGATGTCCTGTTGCATACTTCAGATGTTGGATTTTATGATGGGGACGCAGATAAGGTTTTCTTCTGCTGACTCTTCCATGAAGGCCTTGTCTGTGCAAGCATCGCTGCACAGTGGAACGGTGCACCACCACTCCTGAGTCTGCTAAATCTTCCTGCAGGTTTTTTGCAGTCAAATGGGGGTTTTGATTTGTCTTTCTGACCAGCATACGAGCAGTTCTGTCCGAGAGTTTTCTTGGTCTTCCAGATCTCATCTTGACCTCCACAGTTCCCCTGATCTGCCATCTCTTAATTACATTTCTTACTGTGGAAACTGCAAGCTGACAACGCTTTGCTATCTTCTTGTAGCCTTCTCCTGCATTGTGGGCATCAATAACTTTCATTTTCAGGGTCTTACACAGCTGCTTAGAGGAACCCATGGTTGCTGGGTGTCCACAAGTGTGTGCACAAGGTTTGAAGAGTCAAGGTATTTGTACAGCTTTGAAATTGGCATTTACCAATGACAGCTGTTGCTGTGCATCAGATCTAACGAGCTGATTAAGGTCTGAAACCTTGTGAGAGACTTTGAGACTCTGGAACTCTTAGGGTGCCCAAACTTTTGCACCATGCCATAATAATGTTTTTATTTTTTATTTTTGTTCAATTTATGGCATAAGAAGTAACTATGCATCACTGTTTGCTGAAAATATTGTGCATTTTTTCCATTTCCAAGAGAAACTGTGTTAACATCTGTTCAAATAAAAAATCACCAAAATCTGTTATTTATCAAGGGGGTGCCTAAACTTTTGCATAAGACTGTAAATGTGGTTAATGAAATCACAGAGAACAAATAAACCCTTTGTTCTCTAGTGACAAACACATAACGACTGTAAAGTTTTTACTTATATGTGCAAAAACTGTGTTATTGTATCACTTTGAAATATAGGTTTTAGTGCAAAATTCAAATAATAGAATCTTGAAATGAGAATCTCAAGCAGCTTTTTTGATTGGAGGACAAATTACTCAAAGATTAAAACCAGAACTTGTTATACTTTTTCACCCAAACTGATTTCTGCAGCACAAGAACTTTGTAGACTGTTCGCTTTGGATCATTTTCAGGCCATAGTTGAGATCTCTGACAGTCCATATTGTTGATAGATGACATTTAATTGTGACCAGTGGGTTTTAATCTACACAGAGAACACTGGTACCTATTGGGAGTCATAAATGACAGAATTTTGTTGTTAATGTGATGCATTTTTCAGTCCCAATAGTACTTTTTTTTTTCTTTTTTTGTTTGTTTGTTTTAATACTATGGTGTGCCTTGCTTTATTGTTTTGTCCCTAATCATGACATAAACACACTTGTCGTCCTTCCCTCAGTTGAAGAAGGATTACCTGGAGGGCGTAGGTGACACAGTTGACCTGTGTGTGATCGGTGCCTACCTGGGAAAAGGCAAGAGGACGGGCACCTATGGTGGCTTCCTGCTGGCCTGCTATGATGACGAAAATGAGGAGTTCCAATCCGTCTGCAAGGTGTGTGTCAGAACATGTTTCACAGGATGTTTTGGTGTGCCGCGAGACTCGTAGTTTCACTGCCGATGATTTTAACACACTTTGAATGAAAATCAACAAAGATAGGCGAAAGTTTATTTATTCTACTTGAAACATAAAATGTGCAGATAAGGATTTTAACTTTAGTCATTTAGTTTTTCATTTCTCACACCTACTCAATAGGCAGGTGGTTCTGCTGTTGTGGTGTTTATAACAACTTCATTGTGAGATCAACACATTTCAGTTTGTCACGTTTCTTAGGGTACAGTTTATTTTTACTCCCGGTCTCGCAGGAGTTTTGACATCTTCAGATTATTATTATATTTATTTATTTATTTTGCCTCTTTGCAAATATGATAAACTGTCAGAAATGCCTGCTCTCATTCTCCGAACACCACAGAACGGTGGTGTTCAGAGAATATATGTCACTTGGAAGAAATTATTTAATATTTAATGATTTCCTTTGAAGCATGTTACTTGTACTGTAGCTTTCTGGCGAAGGTTTCGCTTTGATGTAGAAGCATTATTGATATTAAATGAAAACGGAATATAAAGATTCACACACACACACAATATGCTGTGTTTATGTAGTTTTCTACCTATCTCACTGGCAGCAGAATAACACCAATATAAACAGTTTAAATGTGCAGGCCGGTGGATCCAAATTAAACCTCTCCAGAGGAATGGATTTTATATTTCCAGACAAGTATGTCAGCATTTTCAGGCAGCAGTTGAATGGATCCTGCATGTAATGTAATATAATTTTGCCCTGTGGCATTTCATGTGCAGTGCATACTGTGAATGTGTAACTCTTGGGAAGCAACAAACAAACAAAAAACAATAATTAAAAAAGGAGTTCTTAGTGTGACCAGATTTCAGCTAAAGATGGCATATGGCAACATGTTCCTTGTGTTGTTACACTCCTAGCGTGTTGTCACCTAGTTTGTTTCTCTTCTGTGCAGTATGTATTTTAGACCTTTGTGTTAAGGTGCTGTATGGTGTTAATGGAGTGTGAGTTTTTTCTGCTTGCATCAGTTTGTCACGTGTGTGCTTGTGCTGTAGGTTGTTTTATGGCCGTGCTGAGTGTATTTTGGATGACTTTGTTGTATTTTGTGTGTTTTGGAGTTGGATGAATATAATCATTTCTACAAGTGTGTGTAGGTGTGATTCGGTGCATCTTAGGGTGTACGTGCTAAGTATGTGTTGGAGTATGTGTGACCAATTCAGTGTTTTCAGATAATGAGAGTGTGAACAATAAGAGCATAAATTGTCTCTCTTTTCTGACCTGTAAAAACCTTCCAACCTCTGTAACTTTCTTCCTTGTGTATCAAAAGGGATTTAGTGAGAAGCGAGCCCACACTGTTTTTCCCAGCACTGCCCACTTCACTTTCACACCTGGGACTCCACTGCTACGACCACAGTGCTCTGCTGTTGGCCACGGAGCAGCTCCACTGGAGCCTGTGGAGGTTTAAGTGGCTGTTAGATTACCATGTTAACTTTTCAGGCACCACTAGTGGTTTTCTCCACAAATTTTTATATTTTTTAAATAAAATCTCACTAGAGAATGTTTTCACATGTAAGATGGATATCAGAGGAAAGTGAGTCAAGACTTGATGTGAGTTTAAGTGAATAGAAGATACCACTGACTGTGGAAAAATGTCAGATGAACAACTCCTGACTTTTGTCTTTTATTGATTTTCATATGAATCTTTTTCTCTGCTTAAACAGCTGTTGGCTCCAGGGTTTCAGAGTCCTTCAGTTTTGATTATATTTGATCAACACAAGTGTTTTCTGTTGTCAGCAGTTTTTAAAGTTTCATATCTCTACGAAGAGAGAGGTTCAGGAGAGCTCCTTGACCCTGTCATAATCAGGTGCTGATTGAGCTGCAGACTGGAAAGATTTGGTCAAAGTTTTTTGACTTTCTTCAAGTTGAGTCAGTGCATCATCTCTCTAATAAACAGCAACATCAGTATTATTTTAAAAAGTGAACAGAGGCTCACAGGCTTCAGAAGCCAAATCAAAATTAGTGTGTTGTGCAACTAAGTGGCAGACTGATGTTTCAGCTTAATTCATACTGCTGGACATGAAACATTGTGTGTAATGCAATGCACTTTTTGCATGGGAAAAGCTGTGGCTAGCATTGCCACAGTTACCAGCTTAAGGAATATTTTTATTATCTTAACTAACCGGGAAGCATTTTTAGGTGTGCATCACTCAAACACATTTCAAATGCATGAAGGCCTGTTCTTAGACAAATCCATTTTGAAGTCTGATATGAACAGTTGTGAAATTTCTCTCACAATCTAACAAACACCTTCTAGATAAAAGGCATCAATTGCACCGTATTTACACAGGAGGCGTAGTGTCAGCAGCATGTTAGCGGCGGCTTTAGTGCTCAGTCTGTCTACACAGATGCATTCACTTACACTACTGAATGTGGGTCGCCCACGTTTTGGCAGCTCTCAGGGTTCAACTCACAGTCGCCATAGTTACATGTGTAAAATGGGAGAAATGGATAAAAGCATATAAATTATTCTTTGGGTCATGTTTACAAGTGCAGATAAAAACCTGAGCTGTTAAGGCCTGTGTAGTCGGCTCGATTGTTTAAAACAGGGCAACACGACATGACATAGATGGCTGGAAAATGCGGCCAATACTCTTTCTGTGTGGACCCCCTCATTGTGGCAGTTGAGGCTGTCATGTGACTGCAGCATCCACTTTTCCTGTGCTTCATGTTGTCTTCCTTGGTCTTTCACTCTTCAATGTCAGTGATAAAACAAAAGCAGAAATCCATTAAAAGAACTCCTTGTTGTCCTTGACATGGTAAACCTCAGTTTGAGAGGCTGTACTGTAGCTGAAAGCAGAATTTAACCCACATTTCCATTTCCCTAAAGTAACCTCAGCTATACGTCCTGCTTTAACGTCCTTGAGCGGGACACGAGTCCTGAACAGATCCAGTAGCAGCGCTGGTGCTGCATTGAAGTTCATACAGACTACTTTTGCAGAAACTAAGGCCCATGACCACTATGTCAACGGTCGGCCGTTGACCACGATCGGGCTGCCCTCGTCTTTGTGGTGCATTTTCCCCCGCTGCCACTGTCAGACCCTGTCGGTGGCTTTTCAGCGGATATGGAATGTTGAATCAGTGGCAGACCCCATCAGTGAGAGAAACCACTCTGATTGGCTGTTCAGCTTAACAAATCAATGCATGACAAGACAGAGGGCAGAGGATGCATTTGCAACTTCTAGCTCTTCCTCTTTTTATTTTTGAATAACAAATACAGGCTATTGCAGGTATGGAGAGTAATTTCCACTCATGCAGGAGTAGAATGCACATGATAGTTGCTAGTTAGCATGCTGTGGTGTTTGCAGTGTGTTCAGGTGCCACTTTTTGACCCAACAGTCACCATTCCTTGCCATCTAGTTCTTTGACATTGGGTTGGTATTTCTCTGCTCTAAGAAACACAAAACCGAAACAAAAATGACATTTATTGTAGAGTACAGTCACAGCAAAAGCTTATTTGGAGTCTCAAACGTACTTTAATTTTGACAGAAGAATATTGTTTTATGTTTGTCGGCAAACGCACCCACGAACTCAAAAGGCACATTCAGTGGTTATTTGGTTACTGTTGGTGATGACATACTGTAGTATGAAATCCCAGTCACTCTCGGTTCACTTTTTCTTGTCATGCTGAGTTTTCCTAACGTCTGTTACAGTGTATTGGCTATCATGTCAGCACTCATCTCATTAAATGCCTGTTCTGGGGTGTGCTCAGTGGGATGCCTTAGAACTGGCTTAACAGCTTGTTGTCATGGTCGATAATTCCATTCACACACTTTGATGCCGTTCATTGAACATCTGCGGACTGATATTATGGGAGGCAGGAAAGACTCGGGGCAATGGGCATGTTTGAGTGTTTGTCTCAAAGAGGAGAAATCATGAAGCATATTCAAAACGTGAATCCGAGGCTCGAAACGGTATTTTCTGCAGGGGTCGATATCAGAGCTCACTTCTATGGCTGGATATCGACACTGATCTCTCAGGTCGATTTGATTTATGATTCTGTTACATCAGATAATTATCTATGTTGTATAAAGTGCCTCAGAATTTATCCTGAGAAATTAAATGCCTTCACATTCAGAAAATGAGCCTTACTATTGCCTCCATAAATATAAAACTGTAAAATGCATATTATAGGTAAATTCTAAGTGCCTTGAATGGCTGTTTAGTGCTGGTTCCTTGGGCGTTGATCAGATATTTTCTGCTGTTTGTGTTTAGATGGCAATAAACACATATCTGTGCTTAGTGACATTTTGAATGTTTACTTAAGTCAGAATTAAAACACATTGCAAATCTCTTCTTGATTACACCATGCTTTATTCACTAAGCGTTTATACTCAGTGTATATAGACCATTGATCAGTCATGTAGATAGTAAACACCATGTCTTAAATTTTTTTGACAGTTCTTCTGGATGCACTTGGAAGTTTACTGTGGAAATTTAAATGACCATACATTAAGAACATGAAACATTGCAACCAGTTTGTCTTTATGCTCTTGAGCAAAAGGAGATTGATTTCTAAAGCACTAAAAATTTCACTCTGTCATTATGTCTTTTTTTTTTTTTTTACATTTAAAAAATAAAATCCACAACAGTTGTAAAACATAAATGGTTCTGAAGACCTACACACACACACACACACATACAAATGTGTAGATTACATAAAGTATACTCTGACTGCATTAGGAGTCCTACAGGCTCCTGTAGATTTGGTGTGATTAGCTGGTTCAGATCATCATTCTGTACATACAACAGAGGTGTTGGGCCGGTGAGATGAAAAGCTGAACGTATCAAGGCGCCACAATTGAATGTAACCTTCCAAATTCTCTCGTTAATGTGTAAATGCTGCCTTAGAAACAAAGCTTCTTTTGGAAACCTGCAGAATACACACTGAGAACATTTCAGTGAGCTGGGAAAAGCTGTATTTGCATGAGATGCCAGCCTTTTTCTTTCCCTTTCTGTGAATATCAGCCTGTTAAGTGATTCCCATGTGTCAGCGGGTTCAGGTCTTTTAAGAGGTGACACAGTGCTTCAAGTGAAGCAGGTAGACAAGGTGGTGGGGGGTTGCTTGCTGTTCTGTCTTCTGTTGCTTGCTGCCAAATGTCTGCTGTCTCACCATGAGGGAATATGCGAATGTGTATATCCACGCGTGTGCGTTTTGTCTCTTTCAGATCGGGACAGGCTTCAAGGATGAAGATCTGGAGCAGCACTACAAGTTCTTAAAGGTAAAGTGGCACAACACGACTGTTGCAAAATCACAGCTCAACACTTGTGTTCAAGCACCGATGCTTTCATTTTTTTAAAATCATGACCTGGGCTTTTAAAATTCTGCAGCTGCAGGTACTTCAACAGAATCAGTAATTTTTGAGGTTGAAAGAGCCAGAATGAGCAAGGCTCAGGTCTTTGGGGCCCTTTTTTATTGAACAAACAATCATTCCCTCATTTAATTCATAATTGATTCCACCTTTACAGATATAATGGAGATTTTCAAACCAAAATAACATGATTGTTGTATAATTATACTCCAAAAATACATCTCAAATACTGCTGTAATTTTGTAGGTGACTCCTTCAGGTACTTGTGTAAATGACAGAAGTCATAGAAATAAGGTCAGATCTTAAGCTAAAAGCCTGACGACTATTCTGAATGCAGACTAGTCGTCTAAAGACGAGCAGAAAAGAAGCATATATTGGCTTGCAAATGTGTGATTTTTGTCCTCTCTTTGGAAATATTGAGCAGGATCATAAACCTACCTCTGTTTCACGAATCAAAATGTGCATAGGGAGCAACTGTGCAGTCGTTCTCTGACGTCGGGGATTTAATCGCATTTTCAATTTACACTTAAGAGGTTTGTTGCAGAGCAGCAGCATTTGAATAAATAGAGAACTTCTTTCTAAAAATGATCACCTGATTTCTCTGGATTAATAAGCTAAATTTAGACCTGCTTTTACAGAAGAACAGAGGCTTTTAAAAAGCTGTCATCTGTTTATAAAAGTCATTGTTAGATAATTGTGACTGCACAAATCTAGTACTCTCTGTAGTGCTTTGGAGTAAACTAACCCTAAAGTAATATTTTAAAGGTTAAGGGCTTATACTCAGTGGAACAAACTGCTGCACGGTGCAGAGTCACATTGAAACGGTGATTGAGAAGTGTAATTTTTTCCCTCCCCAGACCAATACAGCCTGCCTACTGTAGAGTTTTGTAATGAAGCCTTCCATCTGAAAGTGATGGATGGCGAATTAAGGCTAGTTGTGTTGCTTTAGTTGCTGCAGGCCGCTGGGACTCCAAACAGGCAGATTGGCTCTGTTCGCGCTCCTCTGGGTGGTGAGGTGCTGTGCTGTAACAAGCAACACACTGGTTTTTAGTCTGAAACCTGAACTGAGCGCAGATCTTAAACCGGTGCTGCTTTTTCATCTGCACCTGATCTGATCTTTGATTTATTGGCTGAAAAAATGATACCAACACCTCAGCTGTAAAATGTCTGCCAGTTTTTTTTTTCAGTTAACTAGACAACTTGAAGATATTTTTCACCTTTTCTGACATTTTATAGACCAAACGGCTAATTGTGAAAACAGCCAGCAGATTAATTTAAAGTAAAAAAATTGCTGACTGCAGCCCGACGCTCCCTCTAAATTCTTAAAGTAAAATTCCAGTCTAATAGAACTTTGGTCATGTTTTTGTCCAGTGTTTCTCTTGTTTAACATTGTCCACAACAGGTAAACAGCAGAGAATGCTGGGAATGTGGCAGGTTTGCTATAACAAAGTCACAGAGCCAGAACCACAAGCAAGAATCTGTTTATTTTGAGGTCAAATGGATACTTCCAGCCAATGTTTTGGGCCATAATTTTACAGTTTGCCTTCCTTTTCTTTTTCAAATAAGTTTAAGGGTTAGTTTGAACCCTGTTTTCCATATGTCGGAGTTTCACTGGGTGAGTACATTACGTATCATTGATAGAAACAATGTCTAAAACTGCTGTGAAGTGTCACATAGTGGCCTTGATAAATCAAGGATTAAAAAAGTGAGTCCACCCTTGCTCAGACTTGCTAAAATGTAAATAATTAACTACAAATCCTGGCATTTTAATATAGTTGTATCTGTTTACAGCCAAAAAAGAAGAATGAACCCACTTAACTAAAAACGATAAAGGAAGCTGCATGTTTGTCCTTCTCACAGTGACATTCAAACCTTCTTCTCTGATGTTTCACGTTAAAAGTCCAGAGGAAAGGACCGACACCTCCAGACTGACTAAACCATAACTTTATTAAAGTAGACAGTGTTTTGGTCCCTCTGATCTTTTGGGTGCTGATTTCTAATAGTGTTTACACCCACCTGTTAGGTGCATGTAGCTTTGCTCCTTCACGTAAAACCCTCTAGAAAAAGGAAAGGTGATGACTGAGATTTCCATTTGTCGTTATCGTTGCGTAGCCTGCTGACCGATTTCATTCAGTTCAGCTTTTCAAACTTCTAGCCTTGTGTAAAGTGTCATTTAAATGTAGAAGGTGTTTCAATTGGTCTCTGTTGCATTTTCTAACCATAAAGACAAGCGAACAGTATGGGTAGCAGGTCTGTCTCACCGTGTATATAGGCGTGTTAGTGCATCACTAACTGAGACACTACAAGTTTGAGCCCTGACGGAGCTCGTGTCTCTCAGCAGCAATCGTTTAAAAGACTCTTCTCGCCTACCAGCTCTCTCATTGTAATTCACTCTATGCGAGTGTCACTTGAATGCCTGCAGTATAAATAATGTGTGTGAGAAAACCACCTCTACTGCTGGAGCCTCCTTTTCCCAGCTTTACTTAACTGTGACCCACTTCTGCGGACACTGCTGCAGTCTCAGAGGCACTTTTGCTGAAATGGATGTTTTAGGCCAAAACAGAAAATGGTATCGTTTTGTACAAGTGTGACACCTACGCTGACAGAATGATTACTGGTGTCAGACTTAGCACTATTAAATATTGTAGCAGTTGACAGTTTGCTTACAGAACAGTTTGGTAGAGGTCTGAGCTCAGCTCTGAGGGTTTTTTATTTTTATTTTAATTGATGAATATCAAGTAACTGTATATCATGGTGTTCCTAAATGAAATCTTTAATGTAGGTGTATGGAAATGTAGTCTGAAAATTGCCCCTCAGGCAGATTGGTACCATCTGAGTATGTTCACACTCTGGCGTCTCTGGGGGAGCGATTGTGAAGCAGCAGCAGAATCCAGCATGGCAACCGAAGCCCCACTCTGTCACTGTCTTTTATCATGGTCTCTGAGTGCATTGACCTATTTAACACTGTGAATGTCTGCATGTATCTGCTGTATATGCATGTACGCCCTGTAAGAAGATTTTTTGCCTCTTCACATCTTTGTAAATTGCATATCTATTTTAGACATCGCCATGGACTCTGACAGCTTTAAATGACCATTTTACAGTTTTTGTATACTTTACACACTAATCAATTCATATAATTGAAAATAAAAATGTTCAAATTTATACATATATATATATTTTTTTCCCTCCAGGAGCACATTCTGTCCAAGCCACGTGCCTACTACCGCGTCGACCAATCAGCAGAGCCTGATGTGTGGCTTGATGCCGTGCAGGTTTGGGAGGTGAAGTGCGCCGACCTGTCACTGTCACCTGTCTACAAGGCTGCCATGGGAATGGTCAGTTCAGCCCGCTGCGTCTAACGCCTCCCAACTGAGTTATTAAAACAGTGGATTCTTGTTATTTATTAGCTGCGGTTTGGCTTCATGTTGGCCACAGAGTCCCACAGTGCACATAAGTGTTTTCCATAACATAAACAGTACGCAACCTTCATTTAATTCTATTCGAAGAGGTGAAAAGGCCCTGAGAGGGATGAATTCTCTGTGTGGACACAGGAGTTAAAATGAGCTGTTTTTTTTAGCTGAGTGTTTCATTTCATTGTCACTTCACCTTAAATTTTATTTTTAAAGAGCTGAATTCAAGACAGTATGATGGGTTTTTGTCAACAAATGAGTTTTTCTAAGAGGATTAGCAGCATCTACTTTTTAAATGTAATGAGCCACCCTCTTAGGTTTGACAGGTAACTTGTTCTTAAGACAACCATCTCCTTTGTTTTCTCAGGGTGGCACCATAACTAGCAATAAAGTCACAGTTAATCCCAGTTTGTCAGTGACATCTGTCAGTCGGTCAAGGTGCAGTGTCAGTAACTCTGTCCTTCAAGGAAGACTGTAAATTATAAATGGTTGCTTATCTTATTTGTGGGTTATGATATTTTTATAGATAATTCACACTCGGCGAATCCTTGACTGTGTGAAATCTGAAATGTTTGCAGCATGGTTGGGTTTGAGGCAGTCTTGTTATTTATTAGCTGCGGTTTGGCTTCATGTTGGCCACAGAGTCCCACAGTGCACATAAGTGTTTTCCATAACATAAACAGTACGCAACCTTCATTTAATTCTATTCGAAGAGGTGAAAAGGCCCTGAGAGGGATGCTGTAGATAGGCCGGTCATATTTGGCACCTTCACAGTTCTAATGAAATGCACTTTATTGACAATCCTCGATGAATTGGATCCATCAATACTGTTGAAGTTATTCACAACCTATATTTCTTCATTTAAAAAAAGCCCTGCTCATTCTGAGAAAGAAAACATGCAAGACATCAATTTTGAAGAAGCATTTTGTTGGGCAAAAGCACAATTTTGAATTAGTTTTTTCCTTCAACTATAATTAAACCTTGAACTGAAGCATTTTTTAAAATAGTTTTCAAATCCTGACAATCAGAAGATTAATTGAGCACAGGTCTAGAACAGGGACCACCATTCTGACTAAGAAGTAACCTGGGGACCACTGTTGTGTGGTAGATAAACCGGATGGGCACTCTTTTATTCCTGAAAATCACCTTTGCTTATCTAAATGTTATATATTTGCATAAATTAGTATGGGAATGTGTTTAAAATATAAAAAAAGATTACTTCTGTCAAACTAAAGTATTGAATGCATGGTCAGGGACCACCTGCAATGTCTTTGTGGACCACCAGGGGACTGCGGACCGCTGGTTGAAAATCCCTGGTCTGGAGGAATCATTTTCAGTCAAAGTAACAAAAGACAAATGCTCACATGTACCAACGGCAGGATAATGTGTACTGTTTTTTGATTCTGTCTGCCCTCAGGTTGATCCAGAGAAAGGCATTTCTCTGAGGTTCCCCCGCTTCCTTCGGATCAGAGATGACAAAAAATCAGAGGATGCCACGACCGGAGCACAGGTAGACCCCCTGTAGCGACAGGCCCCTTTTTTTTTTTTTTTTTTTTTTCCCCCGGGTTGTAGAATCAGCACCAGACTGAAGGAGAGTATTATCTAAAACACACTTTATACTTCAGATCAAGTCTTAAGGATGTGTGTGTGGAGTCCCACAAGGTCAAACAAGCCTATTCATGCTACTGGAGAAGCTATTTGGCCTTTTTCTTGTAAAATGATCAATTACCAAAAATGGCTACCGATTAGTTTTTTTTTTTTTTTGGCAGTCAGGTAATTTCAGCTCTAAAACTTTCAACAATTTTGTTTTATGAAGTAAATTGAACTGAAATGAATTATTTTATCTCCTCTGTTGACGTTGGACAAACAATTATGGAAAGTTGTAATGGGTATTTCTCGTGATTCTTTGATAGATTCAGCTTACAAGCTGAGAAATAAAAGTAATCATTATTATTATTGCTAAGCCTCCAAGTCATAAGCACAGCTCACTACAGAATATCACTCTTAATGCTGTGGGTTGGGCCCTTTATTTATAGGAACAGGATGTGAGGAAAGACTAAAAAGAATAAAAATAGTATTGTGCTTTAGAAAACAGGTTGCCAGCACAGCATCCAAATGTTTGCCTTCCCCTGATCTGCTGTAAGCTTCTGCTGCTGCTCCTCCAAACAGTTGTTTTCCTAATCGATTAATCTGCCAGTTACATTCTTGACCAATCAATGAATCTTTTAGTACATAGTGTCAAGAAGATTTTAAAAATGCTTTTCACGATATCCGAGTCCAAGGTGACATCTTCACGTCACTTTTGTCTGACCATCGGCTTAAAACCCAGAGGTATTCAGTCATGTGACTAGAGAAGAAACGGTATAAACATTTAATATCACGATTATATGTTATGACCAAAGTTATCACAGTATTGTTAAAATGTGCTGAAAATGTTCAGAAAGTACTAATACTGCACTAAACTGAAATAATTAATTTGTGGCATTAAATTGAAAACCACAAATAAAACTGGCAGCGCTGTGCACTTTTTGTAGACAAGGACAAAAGACCAGTAGCCTCGCTGGGTTTGACTGCTGCATGCCCACTCTGTAAACAAGGGAACAGCAAATGTGTTATTATCCCCGCGTGATTATCATTCTTCTCTTGCTCTCACACACACACACACACACACACACACACACACACACACACACACACACTCAGTCTGAGTTTTAAGAAGACTGATAATAACTGCAACGAGCCCAGCAATTGGCATAAACACAGAGGAGTACGGCGTTTCTCCTGTTGGAACAGTTTTATAGCCAAGTCAATGACTGTCGGACTTTAAATAACCACAGCATGTAGTTTGGGTGACTAAACTGTGTAACGTGCTATTATGCAGTGGGCAAATAGATCCTGCAGACATGTCTCAAAGTAGCTGAACAGCGCAGTGTCGTTACAAGAGTAGGTGACACTGAAAGTTTGGGTTTGCATTAATGACAAGCTATTAGCAAGTCAGGCAGATAAACCACGACACAAGTCCCCACAACTTGAGCTAAAAGTTAACTTTCACTATAAAGTGCCGTCCTTGTTCGCAGCGATTTTCCCTCTGTGTGTTCTGCAGACAGGGTCACGTCTTCAATCCACAGTCCTTCAGCTCTTTCCAAGCCAAAATATGGCCACACTTCCGACCTAGTCCTCTTAGAAGGCTGACAAATCTCCGGAGCGCGGTCACTGCCTTCCACAATGTTGGCTGATAATGGATATTAGATTTTCAAAGAGCAGTAATCAGTTACATTTTTAATGATCATTAAAATTTGAAACTGTAATACCAAAGTTTACTGTGGTTAACCACCAAACCAGTAACCGTTTCAGCCCCACATGCAACAAGTGAACAGAAAATTCTCACAATTCCCATAAAATGAGGGAATATTTTAGCTTGAAAATTACATAAATACATCACCTAACTTTGAGTTTGGATCTGTGTTTGTAATTATCAGTTCTGAGGAATAATTCCATCATTTCGGTCACACAAAATGCCAGAAATGTAGTGTGAATGTGGAGGCTCATTTGTTTTGTGCTTTATGCTAAATGCTGTTCATGTTGTTAGTCCAAATCCAGGTCCACATTGGAAAAAAGTGTTGCATCATGCTTTCTGTGCTACTGTCCTGTGGACTGACTAAACATCTGCAGATACTTCTGTGCCTGTTTGCGAACCAGTCTGTGCACGAGTGAGCCACTACTTCCACAGAACAGTGGCAGTGTTTAGCTCTGGTTCGTAACCATTGTAACTACGTTGTGAAACAACAGGCAACAATTTTTCAAGTTTTATTTTCTAATAAAAACTTCACACATGCTTGTCAGCATCAGGTTGCTGACGGACACAGACTGAATCCAAGCCTGTTATCAGACACGCATCACTTACTGTTGTGTAAGAGCACACAGAACTTTATCACAGGGGGGTTTTGTTTTAGTGAGGCCCAGTTATCAAGTTCAAGCCTGGATTTATTTATTTTACCTGAGCTCAAACCAGTGTGGCATTTCTGAAGTATTATTATTATGTCCGGATGGATGGATATAACATCAGTTCTCGCTGACTTGAATTATCAGCCATCTGTTGCCTGTGGAGTCTAGATTTGCACTTGTTACAGTCGGGAGTCGAGATGAAACATCCGCTGCATTTAAATGATACTGCTGCCAGTCATGTGAAGATGCACACGCATTAGAAGAACACAGTTTCACATTGTGTGATTTTAGCAGAACAATTCTGATGAAGTCTGACCTGGTTGAAGTCGGAGGGAAATGAGAATTCAGAGCCTGAACATGTTGGCACCAGTTAGTTTGAGGCTCATAATCAAAGCTTTACCTTGATTCAGTGTGGGAGACATAACGTGACGTTTCATTGTTCCCCTCCTCACTGGTACTGCTGTACACACATTATTCATTGTTCCGCCTCCCACCTCCTCACCCCCACACCCTGATGAGCTCCAGTGAACTCAACCTCAGTCAGCAGCTGGGAGTCACCATCTTCAAAGACCAGGATTATGAATAATCAAAGGGTTATTTTTAGCATTTCTTCATTTTACTGACCTGACTTCATGATCTTCTCCCCTCTCCCTCCGCCCCTCCTGCGAACCCTCTCCTCTCCATCTTTCTGTCTCATTATCTCTCCTCTGCTCAATCTGTCCATCTCGTGTGCTCTCTGCAGATTGCTGATTTGTACAAGAAGCAGCAGCAGATTCAGAATCAGGGAGAAAAAGCTGACCTGGAGGACTACTACTAATCATCTGTAATCTTCAGCAGGGAATGAAAATGATGGTCATTTCAATGTAATTGTAAATAGCTTTTCTTTTTGTAATGTTGAATGGAAAATAAAAGCGCTTTCAGCCAGTTTTAAGCATCCTGTCATTTGCGTTTTTTCATCAAAGCTGCTGCTTTACCCACTACAGAGCCAAAGTTATGTAGGTATTTCTTTGGACACAGTGTGCACAAATTCCAAAAACCTAAATCAGCTCAGCACATGCAGCTGTGGCAATAAGATTCCTTTCAGGAATTCCATGCACAAAACTGCCCAGCAAAACACGATATGTATGGGCAGTGTACCAGTAGTCTCAACTGACCTCATTCTGCTGGAGCACTCAAAAGGCGGCGGCAGAGTGCATCCAGCGTGTGTGGCAATAAGAGGACAAGCCAAGGATATTGCCGGCTGTCTGAAATGTTATTAGTAGAGGGAAAAGATGTGGGAGCTGACAGTTGCTTAAACAGCAGGGCAAAAGAGAAGCACTCCCAGCTTGCATTAGATGATAGAAATCCGCTCACTGTCCAGCCTGAATCAATCAGACTGTCGGAGATGTATTGGGGGGCAGGAATTCATAGGAAATATTTTGTTGACATCGGCAGACAAGTTTTGCATTGCATACAGGTACACATCGATAAGACCAAGAGTGTAGCATTAATGACACAGTGCAGTGCAGACTGCTCATATCACTGCAATTAAACGTTTTCAAAAAGAGTACATTTAACTGCAACAAGTAAATTTTTCATTCAGAGAACCATCATCAGCACAACTCTCAAACCCTGTATTTCTAGACACAAATGGACTTTCAGGCTGTAATCAAAGACAATCGGGACAGTAGAGGCAAGAAGACAACCTGCATGAAGAGCAGAACATTTATACTGACAGTGTGACTCCCAGTTTGATATGCTCTGAAACCAAAGGATCAAAGGCAGAACAAAGGTTTCCTCTAACAGTAAGCTGTTAGAGGAAACATGCTCAGGACTGAATCCAGTGTTCTCATGTAGAAGATCAATTAGCATACTGATTGGAGTAGTTTGTGCCTTGTTGTATGGCACACAACAACAGTGTTGCGGCTGAGTGGCCATGCCACAGATGACTTCGAATCATTTCTGTGTGTGGTTCCAAGATGTGCTTTCTAACTTGTGCTGCCAGTGTACTGACTCCCTCGTGGCCATTAGAGAAGGTAACTCACACCAGCAGGGGGTGAAGCTAAGACACTGCCTAATGCTGTAGGTTTTGCTTGTAGTGTGACTAGTATGAATGATTTACGTGCAGCTGTGACAGGGTAAAAAGCTGGTCATTCTGTCTAGACTCCTCTGGGTGGGAACAGAGGGACCAGAACGGTCTGCACGTACAAGATAAGGGCTTTCATTCCCTGCTCTGTAGTGAGAGAAAAGGAATCTCCACAGACAGAACATCCCAATGCTTTTCAGCAATTTAATGTCTTTGCTAAGAAGAGGTGGCACACGTGAATAACCCTCGGTGGATCTATGGTTCCTCAGCTTACCTCGAAACCAGAGTAGGGAATTCAAAGAGTATCCAGGAGAAAATGATCATCATGATATCATCTATACAACAGAGTGTGTTCAAAAAGATGCATTGTTCTAAATGGCCCATGTAGGTCAGAAAAGTCAGGGCCAAAACTCAGAACCTTGAATATTATGAGACCACATTCATAGTGACAAGATGTGATGTAACCAATTGAATGTTTATATCAGAGGTCACTAATGTTCTTCAGGTACCGGTACAAGCTGTACTACAAGAGGGTCTTAGTGTACTGTGTTGAGAGAGGATCTATTATTGAAAGCTACAATAGGACTAAGAACCTGTAGCTTAGGGAAGATGTAGTACTGATGCAACAGGAGAATCTTTTGTCAAAAATCTTATTTCAGACTCAAGGATACAACTCTTGCTCAAGAGACGGATAAAAAGCAGTCAACCTCTTTCTTTAATGCATTTGCAGAATCACTGTTGAGATTAGGGAAGAAAGGTAGTTTTAATCCACCAGAAGAATCTCACCACCTTTATATGCTGGTGTGGACACAGTGTCTTTTATTTCACTCATTTTCAGTGTTTCCCCCTCAGAGCTCTTATCATTTGCTAATCTGACTTTCCTCTATCATCATCAGTTTTTATTTTTAATACAGACTGATCAAATACCTGGCTATGAAATCCCATCAGTTGTACAGTACATTGAGTTTTGAGCAAAGGTAATTAGCACATTACTATGCTAGCCCGCTAAACATCAGCAGTTTAGCATGCTGATGTTAGCATTTATCTGGAAGCACTGCTGTGTGCAGCCTCACAGCTACTAACATGGTGGTGATCTCTATTCTGTGGGGATGTGTATCAGATGATCAGTAATGCATTGTTCCAGTCAGCAACAGGAGGTTGTACTGAGCACAGTTAAGATGCAGGAAATAAATTGCATGCAGTGGTAGGGAAGCTGACATCCCTGCAGCTGCAAGGAAGCATATGCTTCGAGTCTGCAAACGTACAGTCCCGACTTGTCTGCAGGATATTTATATGTGAGATTTTGCCAAATCTCTGACTCACTGTGTGTGTTGCATACTATCGTTACTGTTTTCACATGCGGAGATGGTTTATTTTTCCTATACTCGACAGCTTGTGAGATGACTATTTGTTATGCTATCACTATATGCAAGTATGCATACTGCTCGCCTGGTGGTTTGCCTGATATTTGTGTGTGTGGGCTGTGTGTGTTGAAGGGGAGTTTGAGAAGGACACCATTGTGGTAGAATAATTGTGGAAAGTCTGGATCCAGATTGGCCTGCCCTTTTTGTCTGCCTCTGTTGTTTGTCTGTACCATGCTCCATCTTGTATTCACTTCTTTCCCCTTGTGAAAATTTAAGGACTTTTTTCTGTGGGCTCTTGCACACTACTGTACACCTGACACACTTTTCAAATATCATATCTCCTCTGCATTTTGAACAGAAATGAGGGGCTTGCTGGTGTTAATTTGAATTTCAGATAGCTGTTGTCTGCTGTACTGTTGCCTTAGAAGTTTGCATGAAACACCAAAGCTGTGTTTCCATTGTCGGAACCTAACGGGCGGTACATCCCGTACTTCCCTTAACCATCACCAAGCATAGCCTCTGGGGTCAACGCAGACTGTCCTGCTTTGTTTTTCCACTGTATTTTCTCTCTGTCAGTCTGTTTAGAGGAGGGAGGGGCTGCTCCTCTCTCACACATGCAGTCAGCTGTGTGTTTACACACAGTGCTTGCAATGCTTATGCTTGAGGTGTGAAGACGTGGACATTTAACCAATCACTGGCAACTGATCTGAATGCATGCACCACTCCCTCCACGCAGTCCTGGTACTTGATTTTAGTACTACCTCCTGAGCAGAGTTGAAATTTAGTTCTCACAACACACCTCCAAAGCGGGCGCACCATAATGGAAACAACGCAGAACCCATGACAAGCATTACTCGCTGTGACATGGTACGGTCCTATAATGGAAAAACTCCTCAAGTGTGAGAGATGGAAAAGACCCTAATTAAAATCAAAACGACAACAGAGCATGAAATTTTGAAAATGCAAATATGTAATGAATTAAGTTTTATATTGTGTGTGGTGCTGTTTGACCCAGGCTTGTGTTGTGAAGTACTCTGAAGCTCAACTGTGGCAAGTGTCGAATCTGCTTAATTTGTAACAGTGCAGTTGTGTGAGTGGAGAGGAAGTGTGAAGTCCCTGCACACTGAGACACGCTCTGTATTTTGTGCACGTGTGAATGGGGTTGTTGGTATCATCTGTGTGAAGATGCATGCACCTGGCTAACTGCTTGTTTGGCGTGCGTGTGTAGTGTATGTATTGTACCGTGTGTCACTGCTGTGTACCGGGGGGCAGTTGGCATACATCACAAGCCTGTGGAGCGCAGTGTTTTCCACTGAGGTCGTATCCCATGTTCAAATAGCTGTGCTCTTAATTCCCACTGACTCACCTGTTCAGACCAGGTGCTGCAGGGAAAAGCTGCATCTGTAAACCTACAGTACCTGCTTTAAGGAGTGTCCGGGGGCTTTGGGTGTGGAGCAGGATTTAAAAAAAACATGCACCAGAACTGATCTTCTGGTGCTGTGACAGATAAAATGTGAGCTGAAGATGGTGAAACTGTCCCTGCTGTGCTCCTCTCTAAAGGTTTAGGAAGTGCCCCCCAAAGCAGCAGCATTATGGATTACCTCCAACTGCAGGAAAATAAGGGGGGGCATTTATAAAAAATGTCAGGTTTCACCTTTTGCTGTCCTTTTGTGTCCCTCTCTCTTCCCCCACCCCTTTCTCCCACATAAGCTATCTGTCTTGTTCACAATACCGCTTTCTCCACCCTGAGAACAATGTGTTTGTTCTCCTCCACCTCCTACTCCTCCCTTTTCCTCCATCCCTTTCTATCCTTCCATCCATTTGTTTGGTGCTCTCTGTGACATCTCTGCCATGCCAGGCCATGAGGGGGAGAGGGAGGGACAGGCCCTGCCATTGTCCTTGGCTGAACCCACGGAATATCAATAGTGTTTTTCTTGAGCAGGAGCGCCGAGCGTTGGCCAGTAACCTTTCGGATCTGGTGATGTCAGGCCCCCTCATTTTTAGGCCCTTTATATGAGTTCCCTCAACCTCCAGTCACCGATCTAACACAGTATTTGGTCCTCAACACAAGAGACAGTGCAGAATTGTATGCACTGTGTGACTCACCAAAGCACTTCATCAGCTCAGTTAAGCTAGAACAAGTTGCATTCGACTGTGCCAACAAGTCCTCCAAATTAAACGTCAAAATTCATAGTTTGTAATTGTCTCCCAGAGCGACATATAGAAGCATCTGCTGCTCCGCTCAGCAGGGCAGCATCACTTGTCTGTGCCTTCAAAATAATATATTACTTTTTTAAAACTAAATCCATCTGACACTGGTATGGTTAAGGTTTGAGAAAGACTGTAGTTTGGATTAAAATTTCCTTGTTAAGAAACAGTGAGCTCTCATGTCAAAGTCAGATGTTGTGTTCACCCTTTCTTCCTCTGGGGACTTTAACAACGTCACACACATATCGTACATCCTTTTTTCCCAACAAACAGCTGCTGCTTTAGCTAACCTTTTTAATTCAATTCAGTTTTATTTGTACAGCACCAAAACACAACAAATGTCATCTCAGGACACTTTACAGGTCTAGACCTTACTATTATTATTGTCATAGAGGAAAATCCCATCCTCTCCTGGTTCCACAGGAGAGGATCTCAATAGCTAGAGTAAGGCTCTACGAGGTCTTTAAGATACGATGGAGCCTTGTCATTAAGGGCTTTGTATGTTAGGAGAAGGATTTTAAATTCTATTCTGAATTTTACAGGGAGCCAGTGGGGAGAAGCTAATATGGGAGAGATATGATCTCTCTTGCTAGTTCCTGTCAGTACTCTGGCTGCAGCATTTTGGATTAACTGGAGGCTTTTTAGGGAATTATTGGGACATCCTGATAGTAAAACGTTACAGTAGTCCAGCCTGGAAGTAGCACATGCATGGACCAGTTTAGAACTGATTTCTATTTTTTCAGATTACTTAAGATACAGTATTAGTCAAAAAATATGTGTCCCGTTCAATTTAATGGGAAAGTGTGTGCCATTTTGTGTACCCCACAATCTTTCCATGAACCAGCTGCAGGTGTTGCCTAGAATACAAATACTGTACCCCTGGCAGGAATTACTGCTCTAAATGCTTAAGGTAACAGCTGTATACAGATGTAAAGGAGTGATATTTTTGTGGCAGATTCTTATCTAGACCATTTTTTATTCAGTGGGTCTTTAACCTGTGACCTATTAGGAAACCTAGCTGTTGTATTTATATTTAATCCTGCCTTCTGGGCTTAACTTTTGCCAGTTTTCTGGCCAATTGCTTGCCATGGCTCATTTGCCTTATTTGCTTATGGAAGTGTTTCGCTTGATTATCCAACCTCTACAACAAAACTGTGAGCTAATGCAGTCGTTTCCCAGACTACTTTATGATTGGTTTATGATGGCAGCAGTTGTTGTTCTCCACTTGGCAGTGCTTCACGCTGGCCCACACTGAGAGGCTTGTGCTTAAGGGGGTAAGATTGCAACGCACTCCACTGGATCATTGTTGACGGTCGTTAGTCTTATGACCTTCCTGTGCACCAGCCTCTGTGGTGTGTGTTTCTTCTGTTTTTTCCTGCCCTGAGGGGCGAGAAACTTTCCAGCAGCCCCATCTCAAAGGTCCTCTCCATTCACAGAAACCCTTCACATGTAGAAGAAGGCATTCCCCTTCTCCACATCTGCCAGATGCCTTGTGATCAGGGCTGCACTCAACTGTAACAAACATACTCAGCATTGCAGAAAGATTAGACATGGATAGAGTTGACAAGATCCCCTAGAGCTCGGGATGCTCTCCCAGACTGTGATTGCCCATTTTCTTTTGACTCCACACTTGGTATGTTGTCCTCATCTCATTGGAAATAATTCTATGTCAAAGAAAATTACAATATCACAAGAAAACACGCTCAGTAAATTTCTACGGGTGTCTAATGACATGCCCTCACCAAATCCAACCGAGGCCAGTGAAAACAAGCTTGATGAGTTCGTTCACACAGTGGCTGAAGTCGGAGGCACTTTGCGTATTAAGTGGTCTCTAATTCACATGACGCCTTGCCCACCTCAATAAAGTGCAGCTGAGGATCATGTATAATTTCGCAAAAATCTTTAAATGCCTCTACAGATCGAGTTTTCTCCCTGTTTCTCCGCTCCCTACCTCTCCTCTCGGTATAATTTTGTTGCAGATAAGCTCTCCCTCTTCTTCTTTAGTGTGCTATCACAGCCAGCTGAAGCAATGGGGGCCTCCACTCTATATGTGATCCAGGTTCTGCCTGCCAAGCCCAGCCACTGCTGCTGCCACCGTCACTCGGAGCTGACGGCTTTGGGTGCGTGCCACATTCTGCACCTGCCAGGCTCATAAAGGATCCCCCTGTCTCTCTGGGGCCCGAAGGCAGGATCTGCCACAATTGTTAAGGATGTCGCGATTTAGACGTCCAAGCCAAAGCTTAGACAGTTGATGGCGCCAACAAGTTGGCAGATGGTCCGTTTTGTTCAGCTGATCCATCAGCTGGGTATTTGAGGTGCTAAGATGAATGAGTGGTTGCGATTAGTCACAAGTGGCAAGAATTTATTTTGTGGTTTCAAATGTGAGCAAAAGTCGATCTGTCTCTAAATGTTTCGCTGCTGTCTTGGCCAAGTAACGCACCCTGTGCCATCCTTATCCAGTGCCTCCTCATCTCCTCACCACTCTTATTATATCCCCAGGGGGTATAAGAGGAGTCAAATCATGATTGATATGGTTTACACTTCATGTTGAGCATAAGTGAATTCCAGCTTGTGTGTTTGCTGAAGCTGGAGGAGAGCGGCAGACCATTAATTTTTGCATGTATTCACTGTTACAATGCCAGCGGCTAAATGAATGCATATTTATGATGTGTGACAAAATGATGGAATGAGGCCTCCAGAAATGAGGTTTTTGCAGAAATTTCACCCCAGCGTGTCTGCTCCTTCACACCGCCGTGTCTTTCTCATTCTCTCCCCTTGCGTCTGCCTCTGGATCGGCTGCTGTCTGTGCGTCTTGTCCTGTCCTTATATCAACCCAGCTATATATAGCAGGTCGTCCCCACACTCTTGCTGTCTGTTTTAATGGAAAAGCGAGGAGTGGGCGCTGCACTTTGAATACACAGCTTTGTCCATGCAATGGGAGAAAACGAGGCAGGGAGAAAGAGAGAGAGAGAGGAAGAAAGCGCCATTGACAGACCCGCAAACACCAGTCAGCCCCTGTCCCCCCCCTCTCCATTGTCTCCAACTGCTAGACGTCAGCAAATGAGAGGAATCTGGAGAGAGGGAGGAATTAGAGAAAAGAGAACAAAGAGTCAGGGCTTTGTTTGGGCCACTGGCCTCAGAGCCGAAGGAAGGTTCGTGGCGAGGAGAAGGAGGGGTGAGGGATGGGGATAGAGGAGAGAGCACTGGACTGACCTCGTTGCAGGATCCTCTTCATCCCCTCTTCCCTGACTGTACACAGGCAGAAGCAGGCCGAGACCCCCTGCACCGTTCCCCATGTAATGCTTACACATGAACAGTGATCACATACTGAGCGACTGCAGATGGTCATGATTCCTCCTCACACACCCTCCCAGGCGCCCACATGCGTTGATTAGCATTCCCTCTCAGCTCAAACACATCACGGTGTGAGGGTACTCGAACATATTACATTCATCATGGTGTAATGCAGCACAGTGTGCAAATTCACTCAAATGTTCCCATTGTTTATCCAGTTAATTAAGCAGCTACAGTGCAGGTGCTGCTCACCTGCATTTCTCTGCCACTTCACAAGATCATTTATGTGATTTGTTTCAATAAGAGATTAAATGGACAAGATGGCAGGAGGGGTGGTGAGCTGAGAGGAGGAATGGGCCGGGCCGGGCCCGGCCTGTGCAAGGGGTGTGGTTGGGTATAAACCAGGGGACAGTGAGTTTTCTGTTGTCCTGTTTTGAAGACCTCTGTCCTGACACCCTGCACCCTTCTACTCTTTTCTACTCTCTCCTTCTTTCTTTCTCCTCCTTCCACTCCCTCCACAGTGGGACTCTTCCTTCATAAGCTCCTGTTAGGTCTGCAGCATCAGTATTTTGGGAGCTCTGAAGAAGCCTGAAACCATGCTGACGTTTTTGGCACTGGCGTCGGTCGTGATCCTGGGAATAGGTAAGAAAAAAAACATCTTCTCTTTTTTTCTACTTTATTTTGATTAGCTCTCAGAGAAACCTGCACTGAATTTCATCTACTGGATTATCTTTGCACTGATGTGAGGCTAAAGGTCAAATGAGAACGTGATGGAGTGTTTTTCTCTATTCTTCTTTAATGCTTACCTGAAACATTCAAAAAGGTCAAAAGACTTTGTGTGAATTAATTGATCTTACCTGATTACAATGAAAAAGGTCAATAGACTTAGTGTGAATTAATTGATCTTTTACTGAAATGTAGCATCTCCCTCTACACTGGATTAATACTAAACTAAAGCATTTTAATTGATACCCTGGCATTTGCTGTATTGATTTTATCCAGAAAGGCTGTCAGGACACCTGTAGAGAATATAATTCCTTTTCTGGTGCATTATGGTCAGTGGCCCAGCAGTGTCCATCTGTGCTCCTCTCCTAAAGCAGGTGTCTCCAAGCTTGCAAAGTTAAAGAACACTAATATTGTGACTTTTAAACTGAGCGCAGACAGAGTTTTTGCTGTCAAGCAGACGGCTTTCTCTGCTCCCATCCTGTCAGATATTTGCCATTTTTGTCAGAATTTTAATTAAAAATGTCAAGCGTGATTCCATTGACAAGTTTTGCAGGGGCTGGCTGCACTAACAGCGATGGCTCAAGGACACTTGAGGCAGTGAAAGCTGTGGACTTTACTCTCTGAGTGTTAAAAGAGTCAGAAAGCATAAACACTTGGGGCATTAGTGTTTATGTGGCTGTAAAAATCTTGCTACTCATGGTGGCCTATTCACATGATTTAGCTGAAGCTGAACAATACAGAGATGAAGTTAAAATCAGAGTGGCGGGGTGCACAGCACCCAGGGGAGTTAGCGGTTGTTTGAGATGCCAAGTGCATTTTCTAGCGAAATAAAATATTGATTTTGCAAAACAAATAACACTGAACAATAAATATTATTCAAGCATAAACAGTGCACATGATTAAGGCAACATAAGCGATATTAATGGAGAAAAGGACGTTTCTTTAATTTTTAGAGACTAGCACCAATATTCCTGTTATAATCTGAATATCTCTTTAGTGCATGTGTGAATCAGTGATACCAGCAAATATATGTAATGTAAGTGGGGATTTATTTTGTTACAAAAGAGAACTAGGGCCACTGCAAAAGATTATTTGAGTTATGGCTTTTTCTTGGAATTGTGACTTTTTTTAAAGTCAGCTTTCAGAATTCTGAGAAAAATCCAGAACTCAAAGTTTTTTTTTACAGTGGCTCTAGTTCTGTTCTGTATTTTACAGATTTCAAGGAGAAGACGATATTTTGAGCAGTGCTTCGATGTGTCCTGATTACATTGGGGGCGGAAAAATATTCAGGAATATAATGAATTTGTATTGTTTGCACACTTGTCTACAGCACTGTGCATGGCCTTGTTTTACACTTTGTTTTACACTCTGCTCATTTTCTTCAGTTAAAGGTTGTAAATCTTTATTTATCTTTAAACCAAATCATGTTGAACCTGTGGATTTTTACTGCTGCAGTGTGGCTGGGTGTTTGTAAGCTAACCACACCCACCTGATTTGTGCCTCCCAGTGCCTAAGCAGTCCCAGGCCATAGTGATTTACACCGGCTGGGAGCGCCACGCCCTAGTAGGCTCCGACATCCGGCTGTCCTGTTCCTTCTTCTCCTGGCGCTGGACCTCGGAGGATGTCACCTTCTCTTGGACATACAGGCCTGACGGCTCCCGGGACACTCTCTCTGTAATATATACACCTACTCTCTCACACACACACACACACACACACACACCCTGTTTGACAGTTGTTTTATCCTCTGATCCATGTCGTAGTACTGGAACGAAAGCATGCAGTTGTGATTATCAGACAGTTGTCACAAGCAGGCAGCTTGTATAGAAATCAGTAAATTGTTACAAAAATTTAAAATTAGAGACATCCATCTTAAAGCTGCACTTGATGAGATTGTCATGGAGCTAAGAACAACAAAATGTTTTAGTGTCTTTGAGCGCATTGTTTTGGTTTGGCAGATTGCAACTTTGCCATTTTGAATCGTCTTCATCGGCCTCCTCTGCTTTGTTTTCAGTCGCATCAGGCAGCTGTTGTGGTGAAAAAGCTCTTGTTAAACCCACTTCGCACTAGCTGTCCAGTGTTCAACAGCAGGTAGAAGAAGTTTTTGACTAGATGGTGAACACAGTGGAGCATTAAGCAAATCAACGGCCAGACATTTAGTTTAAATTATTATTTAAGTGGAGATAAAGTAGAAGAGCATCCCCTCTTCTTCTTAAGTGATGAGGAAATGCAAAAACATTTTTTTTGCAGCATTTCTCTAATAATCACGAATGGATTATACCAGGCAGGCCTATCGGGCACGAGCCCTAGGGACCGAGAGGTCAGGGGTCCTCCTTGCCTATGACATTGTATGAAGTGACATATTTGTAGTTTGAATTTCACGGCGCTCAGTCAAAAGACAACCGTAAAGGCACAAAATATGACCATAAAAAGTTACAAGATGACCACAAAGAGACACACAATGATCACACAAAAGCTAAACTATAGGACCTCTCTGTGCCAAGGGGCCTATTGTCTCATAATCTGTCCATGCCAACAATGGCTACTTCTCTGAGCAAAAGACTTTTTTTTTGTTGGCCCCATCTCTACCATGCACAAACAAAAATGTAGTCAGAGGAGGGGCTGGTGTGCTGATGTCACGTTGCCTGATCTCTGGGCAGAGAACGTAAAATAAATACTGCAGCTCCCTCATCAAACTGGTGCCACTTGTGACCTTGACCTTTTCACTGCAGAGCAGACAAATTATTACACTGAGAGTAATTTGTCTAGCACTCTGCATGAACATCATCGAGGATTCCTGGTTTAACAAATCTGTCATCACACGCTCTAGTAATACACATTTTTATTCTGACACACTGTAGCTGTAACTTACTTTGGGACACAATGAGTGCACAGAAACATTCTCTCCTATAGCAGCCCGCCCTTCTGGCTGCCTCACCTGCCTCCTCCTCTTTAATTTCGCTCTCCCTGCCCTTATCATCCTGCCATCTCTCTAATCTCTCTATCTCCCCGTCCTGGCTGCGCCTCCCTTTATCCACCTCCCTTAATCTCCTTCTCCCCAGCCCTACCTTCTTTGTCCCTCCCTTCCCCTCTCATTATCTACTCCTCACACCTCCTTCGCCTTCATCTGTCTCCCACGGTGCCCTCACTTTGAAACTAGATTTCTCCTTTTTCCACTTATCTTCTGTCACTTATTCTTTTACTGCCTAGACAGATTTACAGTTTCATACATCTGTTTATTTTCACAGCACATTTGTCCTTTTAAAATGCCATATTTGACTTCTGACATGTTCCTGTGAATTGTAAGGTCATGTGTAATTCATGGAATCTGCTTAGTGTGTTTCTGAGGCGTTGAATCTTCGCTTAGACTGAAAGCGACAATTTCACAATAACAAAACTGACCTTGTGTCTGGGTCATTAACACTTACCCCGCTTGTAACCTTCATCTCATTTAGGCTTTGCCCTGAATTCACTTATCATCTGGTTAAACAATCAGTTCTTTAAACTCTAGATTTAATATGGGATGACTATCTTGCTATCTTGTTAACCAAAATAATAGTTTTTTAAGCATCTCACTTGTAGAAACATAATGCTAAACATGCCTTTCTGCAAAACATTTTTTTAGTATTTGAAAAAGATTCTGGACACAAGCAGCTGCATAAAACCATTAAAAACAGTCTGAAATTGGCTTAAAGATGCTCTAATCAATATTTATATTAACAGTGGAAGGGTTGAGTGTGTGTGATGTTGATCTTAGTAATGAACCCACTCTGCTCAGCTCTAGAGAGTTTTAGTGACTTTCAGCTCATTGTTTTGGTTTTTGAGTCCACACCTTTATCATTTTAGTTTATTCTCAGTGTTTTGACTCCATAAAGCAGCTGTTAAAAAAAAAATAATAATAATAATCCTGTGCACTAACTGCCCAAGGCCGACAAGGACAAAGTCAGCAGCTGTCTAGTGAAAACAGTGGAGTGTTTAGGTGCTAAATATCAGCTGGTGGAGACCACAACAGAGTTAAAAGAGTGAATGTTGGACGGAAACACAACTCCAGGTTAAAGCTAATGTAGAACCACATCTGTGTCTGAATCATTGATTGTATAAATATGGACAAAGCATCACCACTTCCCTCCACTATGCAAAAGTGAAGCCAAGGTATAGTGGTTGAGATGGCTGCCACCTTGGCACTTTGCAGATTCGGCGCAGTAGTGACTGAGTAGTTGAGTGACGCATCAGGCTGCCGGTCAAAGCTGTCAAATGATCTGAAATAAAAACGACCACTTGTACACACGTCAGGGTGATAATATCTACCAAAATGACTGAATCACCTCTGCAAAAGTTATCTGATTTGTACTTTGAGTTTTTAGTTTGGTTCCAGTCCCTTTTGCTAACATGGAGGCGAGGGCAGGATTTATGACCTATACTGCAACCAGCCACCAGGGGGCAATGGAGTTGCAGTAGCTTCATTTCTGGAAGCTGTCATGCATCCATACAGTTGATAGTATGAATAAGCAACTGTATGCTAAGAACTTCATACAGGGTGGTTACAGCTTCTGGTTATTCTGTTGTTGCAGGTTTAAATCAGAGAAGTCAAAGACCAAATGAACAACACTAAGAATATGACCAGATTACCAAAATAATATTGAAGTTTGATACCCAGCCCTATTTGCTGCTGCAGTTTGTGGACTGGATGTTTCTCTATGTGGCTATAAAGTACACACCAAACTTTAACCACTCTGGGGTGCAACAAACTATTAGCCTCCACAAAGAAGCAAATTTGCCTTAAATCCAATGCACTTCCATATATAACAGCCACAGAGAAAGAGTCAAATGCATGAGTTACTCCTGAGAGTAAACAGATGTCATTATGGGAACACCACATGCACAAACATTGTCCTCTCTGTCTTCCAGATCTTCCACTACACTGGCGGTGTCCCCTATGTCGACAACAAGGGCCCATTCAGGGACAGGCTGGAGTTTGTGGGGAACCCCAGCCGCCGCGATGGCTCCATCCTGATAAAGAACCTGGATTTCAGCGACAATGGCACCTTCACCTGTGATGCGAAGAACCCCCCTGACATAGTGGGCCGCCCCTCCAGTGTCCGCCTGCTGGTCTTTGAGAAAGGTAAATGGGAGATCAGTGAGATCTGTGGGGGTTCCTCAGCAAACTCAGAATCCCCAGTATGTAAAGTCTGTATTGTCTTACATCTGTGTCTGCTCATTAGCTGTCCATTCAGCCTATATGGCACATTTTGGTGAATTCTTTTCATTAGAAGCCAACTGTTTTCAGTTGTTGTTATAATCATTCCAAACTCTAGAATTAATCTCAATTTGTGCTGTGTTCAGACCTGTCGGCCTCGTTCAGAAGTCCTCGTGCTTCTTGTTAAATGAAATCAATTACAATTTGATCTCTTTCTCTAGGTGAGCTTGCCATCACTACCTCCCTTTCACTTCTGTTCTTCCTGTCACCTTCTCTTTCCATTTCTCTCTTCATTCCCCTTTTGTCTACTGTCCCTGTGTTACTCTACATTTATCTTTGATTCTACTTTTACTTTCCTTTTCTATTTTACTTTTATCTCTTATTCCTTTTCCTTCTAGCTTTGTTCCTACCCTTCCCCTCCCATCCATTTCCTTCCTCATATGACATCTTTTCTTGTCTGTTCCCCCCTTACTGTTTCTCTTTCTTCATCCCTTCCTTTTTCTTTCCTCTCAACCTCCTTCACTTGTTTTTTCTTCTGTACCTCCTATTGATTGCACTCTGCTGTACCCTCTAACACTCTTCTCTCCTCCTCTTCTTTTTTTGCCTCTCCACTATATACAGTGCCCATCCAGGCTGGCGTGATCACGGGGGCCATCATCGGGGTGGTGCTGGGCCTGCTGGTGCTCATCGTGGTAATCTACTACCTGATGAGGTTCCTGGTGGCGCGCCGCGTCTTCAGCCTCAGCGTCAGGTCAGTGCCCGGCCTATGGCCGGCGGCGCTCTGCCATTCAGGTCTGTGCCAGGGACTGGAGCTGAGGCCAGAGCCCATCCCTGGCACCGACACCTGCGTGACCAAGCTGGCATAGCTGCTCTGTCACGCTTTGATTTAGTTAGGTGTGCGAGGTTTAGATTTGAAGTTAGTCACCTGGAGAGAGACAGATAATGATCTCTCATTTAGAATTAATCTCAAAACAGAACTGCAAAGGCCCAAAGCAAGATGATTAAAAGTGCTGAAGTGAAGGCGTCTGACTGGATAATCCACTAGAACATGAAGATGTATCATCTTGTTTATACCTATCCAATCCTAGGAGACCTTAACGCATCTAGCATCTGGGAGCTGTGTTTGAGACGGCCAGTAGATTAAGATGATGTTCTCTTTATGATGGCTGCTGGCAGTGCTACCCTGTGACCACTGGAGGGAGAGATAGATTCGACATCCTGACATTGTCTTTTTTTTTGTCCCCTCTAGCAAACATGGCAAGAAAAAGAAAGAGGGATCACAGCAGAGACAGGCAAGTTCTCTCCTTTCCTTCCTCCACATCCCCTCCTCTTCCTCTGCCTCCTTCCCTCACACACTCCATCACATGTACACATCCACTCGACAACACCAAATGCAACAGCTTGGTTTGCTGTCATATTCGGGCTCTAAATAGCAAAATTAAATCCTTTTAGTGAGATTACAATAGCATTCAGTGTAGGAACGTCGTGTCAGAAGGAATATTTGTTTATTCTGTTGCAGTGCGACCACACAATAGCACACATCCAACATGACAGTGCATAACGGCACAGTTTCATAATCGCATTCCCCAATGGCAGTCCAAGCAGCTTCAGTATGTCCGCACCCATAGCCAACTCCTCCTTGCAGCAACATATCAACAACAACAACAAAATAACATGCTATTCAAACTCTGCCCAGCAAACACTAATAACAGTGTTCAAGCTGTTAAAATTCTAGTGCCGTCTCAGCGTTCGAGGTGCTTTAAAGCACCTACTATCCCTCCTCTCTCTCTCTCTTTTGTGGCCCTCACCCTTCCCTCAGCTCCCTCAGGGGGGCCAAACAGCCCGGTGCGAGTAAACAGCCGTGGGGCAAAAATCAAACCAGTGACTGTGAAATGACTGAGACCAGGTCACACCACTAATGCTGTTGCTGTATTGAATAGGACTGTGATTTGCTCACAGTGGGGAAATGGATGGGAGCTGCTGATTTCGCTCACTGGGAGTCAAATAAAAATCACTGGGCTTATTATGGTCTGGGCTGTTATCAGTGGTGTTACCCTGCTGCACGCCGAGCATTTGGGGTATTTTTCTTCTTTCTATTCCTGATGGGAGAGCGATAGCCTCAAGTGGGTGGATTAATCAGACATTTTGGTGCCTTGTATTCTTTTGTGAATACAAGGCACCCAGGCAAGTTCTGTTTGATTACGCCGTGGTAATGTGGGGGCTGGATGGTTGCGGGGGTGTATTGTAATAGACTGTACGCCTTGTGTGCTGATAATGGGAAAAAAGGGAAGTCAAGGGATTTTAGTTAAAGCATTTTCCTAAAGCAGAAATCAAGTTTGAAATAAGAGACATGCAAAGATATCTGAGGCAGAAGATCAAGGTGTTGTTGTGACAGCGTGTCATTTAGCCGCAGGTATAAGCTAATATGAAAACGAGGCATCAGCGGCTGGTGAGGAGTGCGCCATCTTGCCCAGGTGGTTCAAACCTGGGGGGCGATACCAGCCAGCCCTTCCCACTACCTCTATACCAATACCTCAAACGAGTGTTCATTCTCATCTCCCTGGAGTCTCTCCTCCTCCCTCTCTCTTCTTCTTTCCTTTCTACTGTCTTATGATTGTCAGGTTACTCTTGAGCTGCAGTCAGTTGCTCTCAAGTGCCTGCGGCGGGTGACAGTGCATATATGAATAAATAACTCGCCGCCAAAAGGACACTGAAATATTTGACAATGTTGTCATTTACAGTTACTCTTGTGCAATTCTTGGCTCAGAAGAAACACACAGCAAAAACAGCTTTTCCATTTCAGCTCACACTCCCTTATTTTTTTATTTTTATTTATTTTTTTCCTCAGAGCCAATTCTTCCTTTGTAGCTATGCCACACACAGAGAACCCACGGGATTTTATTGCGCGCTCATAAATGGTTGTTTGATCAAATAGCCCTTTTTAGGAAGCTCTGCTGACACAACACAGCTTCGTATCGTATTTGCTGGGCAAACTCCAAAAGGCTGTGGGTGAGGGGATGAACGAGGGAGTAAATGGGACAGACAGACAGAGGAACCCCGTGATGTGTGCTACTCCCCATTAGGTGGAGTTGTGGAAGAAGGGTTTACCCCACAGCTGCACACATAACAAAGTGCAAGTAATGAACACACATACTCGCACTGTACTGGAATGATAATGGAGTGCACTAGGTATTGATCTGAGCTTGCACACACGCACACAACCCTCCCATTCTTCTTTCCATCCACCAACTGCCTCCGCCCCTCACTTAACTTTACTTCACTTCACTCCCTTGCTCGCTCATTCACATTCCTTTTATCCGGTCCCCTGTCTCCCTCCCTTCAGTCGCATCCTCCTCCTTCCCCATCTCCCTCCTCTCTCTTGCTGACCATGAGAAACATCTATCTGTCTGTAATTCCCCCTTTTCTCTTCCTTTTTAACTTACTTTCTCTTGCTCTGTCAGTCGCTCCTCACCCTGCCCCATCCCCCCACCACCCTTTCCAGTTTCTCTCTTCTCCCTCCTCAGGTCTTCTGGGTTCTGATCAGCTTTGGTTCTGGACAGAAAATCGCTACCTCTCACTCTTCATCTACCTCTCAATCGCTCTCCTCACCTGTCACAGTCTCTTTTTAGTATGCAGCAGGGGACGCAGTCACTTACCTACCAGTCGACCTCCCTACCAGTCCCTCCTGTTTTGCCACTGTACCCACATTTCCAGTGAAGTGTGAGCAGCCCCTGTAACGAGGATGGTTTTGCATTTGGCCAAAGCAGGCTGGACTGTGTTTATGAGGCAGCACCCTCGTTAGTGTGGGAGCTCTTGCAATACCTTGCAGCACATACTGAGCCTACTGTGGGATGCATAGTACAATAATATATGAGAAAACGTAAGTATGATCCAAGGTAATAACACTGGATGGGCTGCACCACTGCCCCCATTGAGCAGGATGTTGGCTGCAGCCTACTACCTCAGTCGGTGTCAACAGAGTGCATGCTGCTTTTGCACAGTGCGTAATTAAAGATGATTAATTTTATAATGCAATCAATAGGCTATTATTAGCTGAAGCTTCAGGGGGTAGGAGCAGCTAGTGTGCCTTCCACTGTTGACTAACCTGATGGATTAGAGCACAAGGATTTCATGCATTTTCATGCATCCCATTCACTTCACATCAGGCCTGTAGCTCAACCTGTGCTGTTTTAAAAGTGCACAGTGTTGTGAAAACCATTATATATGAAGTCTCATTAAGCTCCATCAGATCGTTATTATGCACTTGTGATACTTTTCATTAGGTTAACTCACAGGTTAATGCACTGGGAGAGAGCTGTTGTAAAGTTAAGTGTTGCCTTGACCTTATCTTCACTGTTTCCAGTCCTTCCTGGAAGATTTGTTGTGCTCGAGTGAAGCCTCTCTTTTCCCTCCTAACCCTTCTCTCTCTTTTTTTTGTAAATTTCTTACAGATGTTTTTAGACAGTGCACAGACAATATTCAGAATGAGTGGGAGTGAATGGTTGAGCTAGCTATAAGTGCTAGTTGAGCAAATATTTTAAATTGTTGTTGGCCTTTTTTTTTAATATCTCAAAGTCAGTCAAGCGGGTCTGTCCCTGACCACAGCTACGGCAAAACAGTTTAGAAGATCCATAACGAATTAATTATTCTCCTGAACACTTTCATTATTTATTTAATAACTCAATTATATGATTTGTAAACAATTATTTCATTTCCTGGTAGTTCTCCTCTCTAAATGTGATTGGGTTCTGTGCCTTAAAGAGCAACCAGCCCTTAAGCAATTTCATTTTCTGCATTTCAATTAGTTTCCAGAGTTACTCTGAAAGTCAATCGAGTTGCAGAGACTCAGTGTGCGTAGGTGTATTGATTTGTAGGTGTCTGTGTTAGGACCAGCCTAAATTAGGGTGAAAGTGAATGTTTTGAACAAATTGTATTGTCAACAGAAGAAGACCCAAGATGTTAGATTTTCACAATTTATGCATTTAGGTAATTTATGCACAGAAAAATACAAAAAGGACAGAAAGAAAGCAGAATTTGAATAACATATTTAGTATGACACTAAGGTTAAAAAAATAAGCTTAAAAGCAGGTGCAGTTTATTTCAAAATTGAAAAAGGCTACAGTAGATCTGAATAATTCAAATGAGGTTATGGTGGCGTGTGGTGTTAAGTTATGCCCATTATTTCAGCAGTATTTAAATGACTATACTGTGTTTCAGTGTGTTGTATATCCAGACTACACAGTGAAATGTAGTCAGTTAAAATGTAACGTACTCTACACTTCTAGTCAATTTCAACACAATTCTCGGCGTCTGGAAGCTTTTCACATACAAATCGCGAAGTTCACACTTACCGGGACAAGACAAACAGGATCAGATTCAAAGATGTCATATCAACCATTCAAACCAGTACTGTCAATTCCCAGTTAAACCCCAGTCTAGTGTACACTTTGTGTGTGTGAGTGCTTGTTGTTATTGCTCAATTGTCACTCAGTTGTCACAGGTGTATGGAGCCTGCCTGCCACTGTGTCCCATCCTAACGCATGGTTACCTGTTTTGTCACCCCCTTACAGCTCTGGACACCGCCCCCTCTCACTTGCTACCCCCTCCCATAAAAGGACTGTCTCTCTACCTCCTCACCCCTCTCTGTATGTTCGACTCTCTCCTTGTACCCTTAAATGTGTTTTTCTCTCCTCTTCACACAGCTCCACCTGTCTCATCCTCTCACCTCTAACGCACCCATCTCACCCCTCCTTCCCTCCTTCTTTGCCCTCTCATTCTCTGTCTCCCTCACACTCCTTTCCTCCTGAAGTGACTCTCCTCCCCTGTTCTCCACCCGACCCCCTCTCCCTCCTCCCCCACA